GAATTTAAATGACCCGTTGCTCGAGAATTAATTATATCAAAGTAGGACGCAACATAATTCATAATTCAATTTCTATTCTCACATTCTAAATTCTCGACGCCGCTTTGGCAAGATATCGATAAAGAATACTAGACCAGTGTTTTCCTCGTTAGTCGAACGATTCTCTCAGGAAAGAACTACTCCGTCAAGTGCAGTTCGTTGCATACGCGGATCCGAGCGCAGTAACACGCTCGCGCGAATTTTTTCTCCTGCATTTTTCTCCCGTTTACGGTATTGTTCGCGTCAGTTCGCGAGTATCAGCGAGTATCCGGCCGAGAGAAGAGAGAGAGAGAGAGAGAAAGAGAGAGAACCGGCACACTCGCGCGCCCGACCGCTTCCTGTGACCTTGGCGTCCCGGCGCGGCGCGGCGTACAGCGACGCCCGTTCTCGCGCGTCGGCTTACTGAGAAAGCGAAGCGAGCGAGACTCTCATTCATTGTCCGCGATACGCGATCGGCGATAATTGACGGAGCGGGAACGCGCGCTCGGTCATCTTCATTCGTTCCGCGGAATACCGCGAATGCCGATTCCTCGAGCGGTCGTTCAACTCACCGCGCGCACAACTCGCCTCGGACCACCGGCCCCATCTCGGCCGCTTCGTTCGTACCCGCTCGGATCGCTCCGTTTGGATCGCGGAAAAGCCTGACGTTCGTACGTCGCGCCGACGCGACGCGATGCGACGCATCTTTTCAAAAAAATGTACGACGTAGCGAGAAATGCAGTCGCAGTATCCGCGTTATCGCTTGATGCTCCGTTATCGAAAAACATGTTATTAGTAACATATAATAATGATAATTATAAACAGAATAATCAATAATAATTTGAAAGTCAATTTAGGTTCTGATAAGAGAAAAAATGTGTGTGTGAATCAATAAAAAATAGATGCCTTTAACTGAGCCAACACGGGAAGTCAGTGTGTAAGAATTATTATTAATTAATACAATTGATAATAAAAATATAAATTAATAAAATAAATACTTATAAGAATCTATCTATATAATAATCGTTATATAAAATTAATGTAAAGACAAAAGTAAGATATATTTTTTATAAATAATTATTTATAATTTACAGTACTAATTCTCAATTTTTCTCATTTTATGATATTATAATATATAATAATTATAGTAATGATGACGTAAAATTAAATAAGATATTGTCATAAATTTCGGATTTTTAGCGATCAAAAAATTTACTAATTTTAATACAATTCTTTTGTCTGGAAAGAGATTTTTTAAATCGTTATTTTAAAGAACTTCAAATTTTTACCTTTCTTATGTAAAATGATGTTTAACACAAAAAACGACAAATGTTTACTTGCTATTTGCACTTGTGATTCTATAAGAATGATCGTTTGCCAATCCCATCGCTATTACTTTGTCCGACGAAAATTGTTACGAAACCTATTTTGCAAGTTAATTCCGCGGATCCAATAAAATGCAGATGTTGCAATATTCTATTCTTCATGAAATATACATACCAAATATTCGAGCAACCTGACAAAAACAACAGGCCATAAAGATTGACACTGTTTGACTTTACATTCTTTTTTTTATTAACTTCTGATTGAGAAATGAATTAATATGCGTTTAAATGTACAAATATACATAATTGATGACACAAAATTTAATTTATTTGCTCGTTGTGTCCAAGATATAAATAACTTACCTATCTTAAAAGTCAAAATTATGATGTCACAGATCTGATATTTATATTTTTTTGAATTTTTTTAGAAATATATCTGGTTCATTTTAAGCTAATTCAATTTGTAATACGTAACAACAATAAACAAAAGTAGAAATAGAAACAAAAATTATTGTCTCGTCCAATGGCCTTCAACTTTTATTTATATTTTTTTATTCTCTACACATATTCAGAGCTTCTAATTTCAAATAATGTATTATATACATTATTATTTTTATTATTATGATGTATTATACATACCATGGAAATGCCAAGCAATCGCTTTAGCGAGGTTTCAATCAAGCGAAACTACGCGTATCGCGGTTTCTGCACGCGACCCGCGCGCGATTTCGCGGTCGGAGAGCCATGAGAGTATGACCGTCAATTTCGCAGTTATTTTCGAAACAAAGCGCTCACGATCGACAGCTGCGAGCGCGTAAAAGACCCGCTCTTATACACAGCTAAGTTCGTAAAGGATCGCGGCGCGTCGCGCGCCGCTTCATTCTCATTACGCGCCTCGCGTGCATAATGCGTGCGATGGGCGGGAGTGAGTAAATGTCGTGCACTGACATGCGTACCGCATACTCGGCTCGGTGGTGTCTGCCAACTCAATTGTCGGACAATGCTCGTTTACGTCGAAAAGTCGCGCTTCCTGGTACGCGGCACCACGCGGCGCGTACAACCAGCCCGCTTAGGAATCGCGCGACGCGATTTATATTAATTATTGCGAATTAACGAACTACGGCCGTTTTTCCCTAACGGCCTCGTTGAAACGCCGTTATACGGTCGTTTTTCAGATTTAGAGGAAGCAACGCCGATGAGCGATCGTAGCTGAGGCGACGAAGCGCGATATCTGATTAATGCAACTGCATTCTTGGTATGCAGCGATGAAAATTGCGAAGATAACCGCTGTAAATTATAAAAGAAACTTTATAAATTCGTTACAAAGTTAAGATTGGAATGTTTTAGCAACGATAAGTAATTTTCGAGAAAGAGAACGTAGTTGTGTATTGTTCCCTTTAAAAGAGATTATTTTTTAATATCCTCCTCGTTAATTTCTCCTGAGAGAAGAAGCGAGTTCTATAACGCGCAGATAATTGAGCAAACGTTTCTGAATCTGCGGACTTAATTCGCAAAAGTTTGTGATTTATTGGTCCATTTGTGGGGATATACTTATCGTAAAAGTTTTCACATATAAAAATTTGACTCCCAAGACTTCTAACACGATCGTCAAATCGTTATTTCTCATCGAGAGAGATCCGGATCTGCACCTGCAAACGATAAAGACTCAGGTCGGTTCGCGTATCATTTATACTTGCCAGTTAAGGATTCGTAGAGCCGTATATCAACGCCGTGTTCTTTGTCTCGGCAACATCGAGAGAGGTTGCATTCCATTTTTACGTTCTTACTCCATTCGAATCGCTACACCTCGTGAGACATTCTATCTAAATATTTATGCGCTCCGAAAATAGTCGGAGTACCATCGTATGTAATTTTAAGATGTATCAGGTGTATGGTAGTCTTTGTAAAAAGTGATTGGAATTGAAAATTTATACTTTTTGTATAAATGAACATACATATTTATAAAACAATTTAATAAGATTAATATATTTAACAATAATATTTTATAGTTCAAATAAAAATTTTCTTATATTTTTTGTCTTAATTATTTTTTAATAACATGTCTTCTCACTGAAATAATTTCTGATTCAGCTTCTACATCATCGCCAAATTTTTATATTACTTTCAAATATAATATAGAAAATCTACAATTGTTTATAATTTTTTATTTTAAAAATACATGCAATATATCCTTAAAAAATCATTTTCACTAATATTTTTCCAAAACGATCATATATCCATGAGAAACAATTACTAGAAATAATAAAAAACGAAAAACTGAATAAAAATCTGAAAATCATTTTATTCAAATATCAAATTATACAAATAATTAACATTTGTTAATTTACATTCCACGATTTATTTAATGAATATAACAATAATGTTTTATTTATACGAGTAATCTGTATCTATGCCTGTAAGAAGAAAAGGAGTAAAAATGCAACTCTGGATGCATATTCTACAGAAATGTACTGCGCATGCATACGTCGCGTCGATCGAAATAGAAATTGCGGAAGGCGACAGAATGGCGACGGATTAATCGTAAGACCGGAAGCTGCGCGATCATGTGTCACCGCTCGGCACCGTTCGCCATCTCTATTTTCCATCCGCGATCGGAGTAAATCGATCGGATTTCAATCCTTGACATAGAATGTCAAGGATTAATAAAACGAAGTTCTTACATTACAAGATACTTTCTTCAAAAAAATAAAAATTTGGATTTGTGTCAGTGCAAAAATGTTATTCGGGGAAATAATACTCTACGAAATTCTCCGAAGATGAATTTCGTAAGATGAATTCAAGCTTTAAGTTCGTGTCGACATGAAAAGAAAAAAAATTAAGATTTTTCTCTGAGGTAATACGCGTGAGATACAAACAAGTAATGCTTGTTTGCATTCTTGGAGAATTGAATAAAAGAGGCTGGAGAAATGATTGAAAAATGAGAGAAAAGAAGAAAAGAGCGAAAATACACGCAAGTAAGTAAGGCTGAATACGTATATATGTATATATATATATATATATGTGCGAGTGGTAAAAGTGCATCGGCCGTTTAATTTCGGCTTTCTTGACGCCGAAAATATTCGCGCCACACTTTTCTCTGCGGCATAGCTTAACGGCTAAGGAATTCCTGCGGCAGCAGTGTTGCCGGTGTCGGTTACCTAATTATAGTTGCACATAGAAATCTGTAAGGGGACACCGTGTGCACATCCGCAACAGAAAGGGAGTGAAAGAAGGAGAAAGAGAAAGAGAAAGAGAACAAAGCGGGACTGCGCTTTACGCATTCGGCTTGTGCAATGAAAGCGCACATCGTGCGTGAGACACGCGGAAGGTCGCGTCTGTGCGTGCGTATATCGCGTTTCCGCGGATTTATTTTTCATGGATGATTTAAGTCCATGGCAGGAAAAATATAATGGTGGAGAGATTCTTGATAAAGCTACTTTTAAAATGTTAATGATTTAAATTATATGTATTTGATTTTTTAATTTATTTGATTATTTTAAAGTATATACATATATACAGTAATAGATAAAATATAGAATTATTTATTATCTGACAAATATATATTATATGTAAATTTATTTACATAATAAAGTAACTACTTTTAAGCTAAGCGATCGAAAAACATTTAGATATTTTATTTTGTTTATTATTTATTGTTGTTTGTTAAAGTATTTATTCACTACGTTGCAAAGAGTAGCTCTATGTACAATTTTTTTTTAGAAAAATTATAAATTGTCGCAGCTGTTATTATATAATTGCTAATATCCGAAATATTTCACTAATTAATTCATTGAGGTGTGTTTTCTGATTTACTTGGAGAAATTGAAAGGAGTCGCAAAGAAGGAAATGCGCAAGTAGCTCGGTTATTCGATGATTTGCGTGTTCTAATTTGACATAGATATGTAAAGTAGCACAGCATCGTTGCAGATCGAATCACTGACACTACGTTATTCCGGTAAAATGTTATCGAGATGAATGCCTATCACGATCAATCTAGACAGAGAAGCGTCTGCATTATTCATCAGCCTTTGGGCGAAGCAGAGAAGTAAAATTTACATTATTGATTACGGGCAGAAAGCTATTACATCTTCGTAGGACACGGGGTCGCAGTCATCTGACGATGATTCCTCACACAGATAAAACGTTGCGTTGTGTACTCCTTAAATCACATCATTTAAATTAATCGTCGCCGTTTTCATCTAGCATTTCACGCGATTCCCGTATCGTGTTAGTGGATTAAAATGACTAACAATAAGACAAGCCCGTGATGTTTTGTTTACAAATAAAAAAAAACGTAAACTCTTGCTCTTACTTATTACTTGTTAAGGAATAATTACAAGTTAATTAAAACATAATTAAATAAATGTTGATTTTGAAAGAACTCAAAATTGATTAAGATTTAAAATGTTCGTCATTCAGTATCTTCGCGAGTGTATTGACTAGAAATAAAAATAAAAATAATTTTAGCTCCAAGAATAAATCAAATATAAATAAAACACACCTATATGAGCCTTCGCGGTTGTTAGTGCGTAAATAATATATTTAGATGATAAGGTATAATTGGTAAAATCCATTGGAATGTACTTATCAACTAAGTTAATTTGTTTTAATGTAAAAGTTGCAGTTAATTTAAGTGGTAAGTACATTTCAATGATTTGCGAATTATATCTTATCGTCTTATAAATATATGATTTAATTTCGCACTAACAATCACAGAGGCCTATATAGACATTTTACTTATATATGACTAGAAATGTTTTCAACAGCACTTCGATGAAGTTTATCGAAAGTAACTTCGCGGACTCGCTCATTATCTCATTGACCGCGTTCGGTATTTACCGTGCTAGCTCTCGGTACCGTTCGAGAATTTAATTCCGTAACATGGCGTTCAGTAAATCGTGGGTGTACGAACGGTGTTCTTATGAACGCATAGAATCTCGCGTTTCCAGCTATACGCACGCCATAGGATCGGTATATTCTAAGGTATACTTAGCGGAGCGCACTTGTACCATAATATGGTTGCAACATTATAAGTGGCCACGAAAAGAGACAATGGCATGTGCAATGCATTCTCGCGTGCATTCATTGATTCGTATCTTAAGCACGAAGCACGAACCGATATGAGATTTAGTTATTTGGACCACGACAGCGATGCCGTCATATTTCTTGATGGAACTTAATTGCGTAAACAAGGCTCTATTTATTACGGTAATTTACGTTGCGATTATATCCGTCGTCTCTCACCGTAAAACGCACGTCGTGGACCCTAGACTTTTACAATATTATACCCAACACATAATTTGATCGCGTGATCAATTATCTTTTATTAGCGTGATGTTACACAAAGTTCTTATAATTTTTATGTGCGGGGTACGTCTAATAATAAATTATAATTAAACTGGACTAAAAACAAACTCTCGAAACATGTAACTCAATCTTCTTCGGTAAGACTTTGAATACTTCTTTCTACTTTTAATATTTGCTCAATTTTTTTGAAATAATTTAATAATTAAACTTGAACCTCAGACATCTCTCGCGTGATTTTTTTTTCCGTATTTTTTTCGATCAATCTTTTTGAAATGCTTTAATAATTAAACTTTGAACTCAGACGTTTATCTCTCGCGAGACTTTTTATCCATATCTTCGTGCTGTCTTGTCTCCTTGAAATTTTTCTTGACTTCTTAAACCTCGCTTATAATTCTCACCTCACAATTTGCTCTGGCAATCTCTTGAGTTTCACTTTTCTTGCGACTTGGGCGAGGGTTACTCGGCCTTACAGCACGGTAGGGTGCATATTGTGTGCACCTGTCGTTTGACCTAAGTAAGAAAAAATTCTGTCGACTCGTTGCCCCTCGTTCTACCTCTTTCTCTTTCTTCTTGATTTCCATAACGCTCACTCTCTCGTTCGCACACCGCATTTGGGCAGAACATTTTCCGAGGACGAGTACGATGTGTCCAGCGTGCGTCTTTGAATCGCGGTAGTGTGTCATTCTAAAAATAGAGAGAGGTTGAAACGAGAAGGAAGCTAAGGCACGAGAGACCGAGAGGTGGCAGGACGAGAGGAAAGGCATATAAGCAGAAGGAGAGTAGAGGCCACGTAGAAGCTGAAAGAGAGAAAGAGACACAGAAGAAAAAGGAGAGAGAGGGAAGGAGTACCTCCATAGTCTCGGTCGTGAACCCGAGGAACGACCTCGGTGAAACGTCGAGTAAAGAGAAACGAGCAAGTGAGAAAGAGTGAGAAAGAAAGAAAGAGAGCGGGTTAGACGAGAACGTTAAGAGAGGGAGAAAAGGCAGGATAGAATCGCGGGAGAATGATGTGGATGGGGTGGGATATTAAATTAAACAGCTCGAAAAAGAGAATTCAAAGGCGATATTGCGAACACAAACATATCAGCGAACACCTTAAAAATTTCATTCGCGATTTTGGATATCGTCCTGTCTCGAAAATGGAGAGAAACCAAGAAGTGAGCGCGGCGAAGATGTGTGAGATTGCCACTTTCTAATTTTGAACCCTCCGGATAGTGTCGGTTTACTGGATGGGATCGAGCTGGCCACCGTGTGGCCCTCTGTTTATAAACTCTTTCGGCTGGGGATATGTGTACGCAGCGCTGGAATTTTGTCAAATTACCGAAGAGAGTTACAGCGTTCAAGCAGCCAAGAAAGAAGATGCATGTTCATTAAAGTAAAACGCCGTAAATGAATTGGGACGCAAGGCGCCATACCTTTCTAATTGCAAGATTGTTTTCTACTTTCAATTCGCACGCTACGTAACCTGAATTAACATAATTTTTTAATTATAAATTGAAACTCGAGGAAATTTCAAATAGCGGAATCGTTGTCTCTATTTATCTTCAATAAGATCTCGATTTGGGTTTTGATTATTGAAATATGTACTTAACGCGCTGGATGTAAAAGCAGTTATGAATAACGTTTTTTTTTTCCTTTTTCTCAGAGTATTTTTCAACAGTTTTGAATTTCATATTTTGAAAGTGCATTCCGTCGCAGAAGCTTAAACGCGACGTTGCAGAATGGCTAATAATAGGAGGGTTGGCTTACCAGCCAACAACGCCGGTTTGCAGTCGCGACCGAGTCCTATAGAGGCGTAACTTCCGTTAATATCGCGACGGACTTGGTGCTCCTGGTGCGTCTTGGTACCCACACATCCGCGTATGAGAATATTAAGACAGCACGCATTCCACTGCGACGGTTTCCGCGATTTTATAAGCGGGACCGAGGGCTCTCGAAAGCGCATATCTACTAAATGTAGTAACGGAGCTCCAAAAATACGATACTCTAGAAAGTGAAGCGCTATTGTCAAAAAGTAATTTTTTAATAAATTATGTAGGTATATATTTTTAGAGTACAAATTTTAAGAAAACTTAATATCTATAAATTATAATTTAGTTAAATTGTCACATATGTGATTTATTTTTTCAATTTGTTATCTAGCTTTTCATGCAAATTTAGTTTAAGAATGGATGCAATAGAAAAATGTACAGAAATTGACATTGTACAAGAGCTTCTGTTTTTGCCGAATAATAAGTTCCTCGTAACTTTAACGATATATCATCGCCCACAAAATTATAATAATTGTATCAAAATATAAATTTCGACGAACAATATTGAATTGATCAGAAGTTGCCTGACAGGCACGTTACATATCCGTTTGACCATGATCTTGCACGACCACTTGCGCAGGTTTTCTTTTGCATAACCATAAACCGGCGCTACTTTATCGAGTGGCAGATGGTTTGCCATACGTGTACTTGAAGAGCTTTCCTTGTATTTCGATATGAAGAAAGTCAATTGCGCGGGTCGAGAAGATCGCATTCACATGCTCATATTATATCGAATAGAAAACGGATTATATGGAAACATATTAAATTATCACGGTTTATATTGAATTATATTAATACTAAAAGAGTACTAACGTTTTTTATTCACTAAAAGGAGAAACAAATAAATTACCATAAAAATTTTTTAAATAATAAAAAACTAAATATTTCAATATAAAAAACATAATTATTGAAAACTAAAAATATTCAGAATTCTGTCTTTTACAGAGATATAATATTAATTTAAAAATAAAAACAGTCAATAATGATTTCTCAATATTTCTAGTATTAAATATCTTCGTATCACAATTATTCTAATTAGTGATTATGAAAAAATTAGGAAAACTGAAAAAGAAAATTATAAAAGAGAATTATATTTAAATAAAAGTTTCCATTTTTGGGAGAATTTGTTTGCTTTATATAGTCAAAAGAATTTGTTTGCTTTATATAGTCTTAATATTAACATCTATATGTGTAATTTACTTTTTACGAGAATATACGGACGTGCTATGTGTTTTTATGTTTCAATATAAAAAAAATGTCGTTTTATTGAAATAAATGTCATTTTTATTATATTAATTAAGATGTTTATTTATTTTATTATGTCACTTAAAACGTTAATTTGACATGTTCCTTACATTTTTTCGTTCACAGTAGCCCGAAGAATTTTTATTTTATTTCGCACTTTCTAGCTCGAAATTACATAGGGAAACCGGTTGCTCATAAGTGTTATTTATCGATCCTACATTTTGCGTTCTCGTTGCCCAGTTTCATCTCTGTATTAATCCACAGTCACTTCTATAAATTTATACTCTTCTTGTGTACGAGAAAGGGAAAAGAGGTTGAGAGAGAGAGAGAGAGAGGGAGAGAGCTTATTTTTTTATTATTCTAATATATTTTTTATAAAAGTATTAAGATGTTGAAAAAATATATATAAAAGAGAATTTAATAGGATTATCGCATTAATGTTTTTCAAGAAGTGCTTGCGTAATTTGCACTTTAGTATTAATTAAAAAGGCATTTTACATTATAGTCTTTAAATTATCTTAATCTTCTTGATGATCTAAAACAATCGAAACTTTTTCCAGGTGTCCACGGTGTAATCACACGAGGAACCACAATGGCGGAGGTGGCAACAAAGAAGTCGATCAATGTAGTAAGTAGCAAGAAGAACGAGGTGTGCGGTGTTCAATCTAACAATGGTTTGATTGATTTGGATGATCTAACCACGAGTAACACTCAACTAATTTCATTGTGCGACGATGACGATCTCGTACTCACAAACAATACACGTAACGAGCTTGAGAACGACGACAAGAGTCTGCAGGAGCTGATAGAGAGTGAACTGGCCCTGAGGATCTGCTCGAGTAAAGAGGACGACGATGATGCCGTCATCGAAGAAACCGAAAATGTCATCTCTCAACCAGAGACAATCAAGAAAATCGTTCTGGACTGTCGACAGGATCCCGTTGATGTTAATGCAGAGTTCATAGCTGCCGAGAGCGGACACTATTCTTTAGTCGAGGAACCATATGGTCATCGGAATGGTCACGTGTCCCCACAGGTTAACATTGAAGTTGTAAAACCAGAACCAGTACGTTTCCATGATGAAGAAGAAGATCAGGCGTTTGTCGAGCAGCCGGAAGCTGGTGTTCCGCCGGTAATTATTCAGAAAACAAACGAAGGTGATCAAGAGTCAAACCACGACGAAGCTGTCGATGTTAGCAGCAACAGTGAGGAGTGTCAGGCGATTGTCAAGGAAGCTGTTCCTCCCTCGGATGATACAAACTCTAGCAATGTCACAAATGATTTCGTAGATGAATCGAACTCCCAGTCTTTCCCGATTTCTGCCAGTTGTCCCGTAGATAAATACCAATGGAAGGAAGAATTGGTGCTGAAGACACTCGATGACGTAGATCTCCTTTGCACCGACGTCGAACAGGAAAGAAAGAATGCAGATATTGATATTCCGGATTCCATGTTGTATGACCCGACGACACTTCTATTTGGCATGACGGTCGGTCGGTTCCATAACTTTGATGAGGAAATCTATCTACACAATCCAAACCTTGTTGAAGAAGTGAAAATCCCTTGGATGAATAAAGAGTCTTCCACGAATGAACATATCGATACGCTTAATGATTCCTATGCAAACAATTCTGTCGAGGAGGAAGAGAAGATTCCCACATCGCCGATCCGTCGGGATAAATCGTCAATCTCCGAAACGATCCAAGAGGTCGATTTGAAACTGGAGGATTCTCGTTTCTCCGACGATGTCTGCCAGTCCGAGATGTCCGCGGAGATGGCCAGCACGCAGGAATTCCTCGACATAGAACGCCGTGTGCTAAACGAAGAGATCGATCAGGAACCACCGCAGATTGTGATATCGTCAGAGATCGCCGAATCTCAGGCGACGTCGGGATCGATTCTGGAAAATGAATCGCCAGAGTGTCTCGTTGCGGAAGATACGCAAAATCTGGTAGACGAATCCTCGAGCGAGTTCTCGGCGTCAGACTCGACTTTTATTGAAAAAACCGAGATTGTAGTGTCTGACACGAGAGTGATGATCTTTTCGGAAACGAGACAACTCGTCGCCGAGCAGATCGGGAATCTCGACTCGTGGACCACAGTCGAGGAGGCCACAAAATCGGCAGACGCCGAAGAACTACAGAAGGACGCGCCAGCCGCGACGGAACGTGACGCGGTTAATGACGCGACGAGGGACGATAATGAAGGGAAGCAAGACGATTACCTTGCACCCTCGTCTCCCCGTGCGCCCCTGGCCACACCGGACGAGACGGAGACGAGCGATGTTTCTAACGCCTGTGACGTAAGTGTGCTTTTTTCGTGAATTAACTCGATGCCCGCTCGAGCGACGAAGGAGCGGCTCGAAGGAATGACGCAAAAATGTCGATAGGATCGTGGTGTAAAAATGCAGAGTGTAATATTGCGTATAATGGCGACTGAATTGATTTGTTGCCAATATTTGATTAACGGCAAATAATTTTTTGAATTTGAATAACGGCTTATAATGGTTTTCAAGATTTAACTAATCTCTGATTAATCACACAAGAATTTTAACGACATCCATGAAAATGTTACATTTCCGCCGGTATTTCGTTTGTATTTCAAAGCTGTCTTACGTAATATCTTAAGATATTAATACTGATTGTGTGCGATATTTTTAGTCGATTCTTATATTTAAGACTGTCTTAAATACGATTTTAAGTTAAACCAATCAGAGAGTATTATCTTAAGACATTATTTAAGACGGTCTTAAAATAAGAACGAATTATTAATACCGTCCTGTGATTAATTTACAACATATATTTTAAGATATTGTATGTATACTAAAGACGGTTTTAAATATGTAATAAGAAGTGACTTATATGAAATATAAGTCCTCTTGTTTATTAAAGTTTTTTTACATCTTATTGATAGTCTCTCGTTTACATTTGCATAAATCGAAACTTCGCACTCGCGACTATTTTCACAGTAAAACTAATTAATATGTCATTATCATAACATTGTGACGATGACGTCTACGTCGTGTAATATTTCTCATGAATATAAAAAATGTTGAGAAAATTCACAGCCTCGAATGAGAGCACGAGCACTTTCCTTCGAGCCACCGCATTTGTTTGCACAGGTAGGAGTAATAGCTCTTATGATTCAACGAAACAATTAATGCCTGATTTGTTCCTGACTTTTGTCAACATCACAAGCGAGATCATTGCACCTTTTAAAAATTAATCGTTTTTTTGTGTGGTATTGCTTATCATTATCAATCAAATCAAACGCTATAATTCTGAACGTCGTAATGTTTTTGACTTTAACCATAATTCAAATTATATAGGATGATTAAAAAAACCATTTAGCATTTATGGTAGATAATATTATGTGTACTATCCATTAACTATTATATATTTATTATCTAAATACTGAATGGTTTTTGTACACTCTGTATAATTTATGTACCTTGATATCGATAGGGTTGCTTTGCGCTTGTGACGTAAAGCTGCAAACGTAGAACGCGTCTCGGGTACTCATATTCCGCACGTTGCGCAAGAGAAATACAAGCGCCATAACTTAACAGCGTTCAAGTTGTTGCTTGCATCGGATAATTCCTGCGAGCGCATTGTGGATCCGATCCTCCTAGCAATTTCTGCAAGACTAATTGCGCCATCGCTCTACGTAACTCCTACGCATATTTTTACACGTTAGGACGATTAATCTCGTTTATTCTTTTTTCGACAATCGGACAGCCTCCAGGTAAGGGATTCTCGCGAATGCCCGCGGGTATTCGCACAATCCGCGATATCGATGCGCTAAGTTTAGTAAATTTATGTTCCTCTCACTATTTATAGCATCGCAAATCGCTAAAGGAATAGCATCAACCTTGTCGATTTATTTGATTAATTTTCCAACCTTCGTCACATATTTATAATCACGAATAAATACATTCGAATAATTGATTCTCCCCTTTCTTATGATTGTCGATTTTCATGTATAGTATTTCTATGTGTAATCGCAACCTCGATATTATACTCGACATGCCTTCCGCAACAATTCATTACTCGCAAATCGTAAATGTGTATTATTTACCTTTATCTCCTCGATACCTCCTTGAAGGTACACTCTTCTATGGTCAGCAGCGCATGACGATCGCTCACACCACAAATCTCATGCAAATGCAAGATCTGCAGTCACAACGGAAGCCGGCTTATCGCCATGAATTTCGTATCAACTCGCGAAACACTGCTTGTAACAATGATTCAGTATTCGTATACTCGACCGAATTGAAATACGTGGGATACTAAATTCTTCGAAAACTCGAGACGCTTTTAGTAAACCTTCCTTAATTGGTAACAATCTCTTAAACTCATACATTCTGTATTCCGTATGGAGCAGTTTGCTGAGCTTGATAATTATATCTTAAGCGATTTACTTCTTTGGTTTCTACCTTCATTATCCGTAAATACGGTGTAGATTTAAGGAAAGATAACGGCCATTTTTGTGATTAATTTTACTGCTAGGCATGGTAAACGGCGGAAAGGATTTAAAACGGAACAATCAGCGATTATCTGCGAATAAACAATTATTTTAACTCGTCGAACTTATGCTTGGTAAATTAGATTTTAAAACTATATTATTTACAATATTTAAAAAAATTAATCAAGCTCCTGAAGCGAAACTACCAAGGCCACTTGCCCAGACGGATGTTACTAGTTAAGGGCTGATCAAGATCGAGATCACGTCAAAGTCAATCGTACGCTGCGCGCAACCTCTTAATGGCGTCACAATCCTCCTGTCGCTTCCTCTTGCAACATTCCTCGCCTCGGCACGGTTCTGCTCGCCGAGCAGCTGAGAATCCGAGTTCTTTTACCTGGCCAACCGGCTCCACGTGCCTGGTGGAAACGGCCAATCGTCGGCAGCGGAAAGCCGCATGCTGCGTGCTACGCTTTGGAGAGCATCAAGTTTCCTGAACCCGTTACGAGACGCACGCTCTCCTCGGCACCTCAGACATCTCTGAGGCATCACGCAGAGCGGTTGTTCGTTCACGTCCCGAGGAGTGGTGATCTCGAGGATGATCATCGATCAGGTACGACCTGGACGACGAATCGGCTTGATCTATCTGCTGCTGTAGGGTCGCGATAAAAGTTTGTGAGGGAGGATAAACTCAAGTGTAAGCGGGGGAGGTGCGCGCATCAGACGACACGGTCGTTGAACAAGAACATTCGCCTTTTTTTTCCTTTGGTCTCTCCTTGTATTCTTCTTATGTCTCTCTCTCCCTCGCTCTATCTCTTTCTCTTTCTCTCTAGCTTGCTCCCACTCTCGCTTCGGTTACCAGCCATCTCGTTCGCGCTTGAAACTCAGCTCTGACCGCTCTTTCTTTCTCCTTCTGTCTTTCGTTGGCTTTCGTCGACCCCGTTGCCAAGGTGGACGCGCGTTCGTCATTCTGAATGTGTGGCTGGTGTCGGTGTTAGAGGCTGCTTGCTCCGACCAGCGTCGGATAAGGCCGAAAAAGAAGGACCAAATTCTGTGTTCGGGGTGATATAAGTTGTGAACTGATGGTGATGTGATTGATATTGCTTTCACGTGAAAGTTCTCAGCGAGTACCGTGGAGAACGTCGGAAGCGATTGTCTTCCGGTTTCTCGAGACGAGACGAGTAATCGAGGTAGCGTAAAAACTCGAAAAAACTTCGCTTTTGTGATCAAATAGAGAGTGTGGAAGTATAGGTGGAGTACCGTAACCTGCTGGTGATCGCAGGGAAATTTTTGCGATTGTTCGGAAGGACCTTGAGAAAGGATTGGGAAATGTTGGGAAGTGTGCCAGGATTATCCTAAAGTGACAGTTTTCAGAGCATGTTTCATGTGGTTTCTCTCAAAGTCGCTTTAAATTTCTTTATTGTTAAATATTTAAAATAAGAAAACAATAGTTCGGTCAAATTATTATAATTATTCCCTATTTCTTTATTAAACAAGAGTTTATCAACAGATATTTATTAAAAGGATTCCTGTAAGTAAAATATTTTCGACATATGGAGCCTTTTACTTAAAAATTATGCAGCATATTCTGCCTTTATATCTCTTATCTTATCGTTTACATTTGTTCATTTTGAACAATGACGTAATCGTATCTCTTGCCAATTTCTCGATACTGGATAATTAATAGTCAAACGTCACAGTTGAGATTGTGTTGGTACGCATTATGTCGCGTTTTACGCTACGCTCGCATGGTTCATATTCCGTTCCGGAGTATTGCTTTTCGCGCGTGCGGCTTATCGGAAATCTTCCTTGTCGGACGGCCACAGCTGTCGGGCAATTACGCCATCGTGTATAAATCGTTGGAGCCATGAAAACTTGACGCTCTTATCAGTCGTTTCTAATACCCGCGTCTGAACAAGCCGTTGCTTTCGCGTTTCGACGGCACTGAAGCCAAATCGCCGTGCTTGACGGAAGAAGACACGTTTTTTTTTTCTCTAATCTATAATCCCAATTTTTATAATTCTCCATCTTTGTTTGCATTCTTATCACGCATTCTTTTGGTAATTACTCCTCATATCGTGTTATCGTAAAAAAGCGAAGATTATTACCAGCTGGACAATTATGAGTTGAGTCGAGAATCACGTAGGCGGATGACGTTTTAATTGCGCTGTACGATATCGGACTAGTTTCGCTCGTAAATGAAGCCGTGCGTATTAAACAAATATTCCATCTGAAATCTTGCCTAACTAACGCGTCGATCGCTTTATGCACGCTCACGTACATCGAATGACGAGAATGAATCAGATCGTCGGAAATAATGTGCGTGATATGAATTTATGTCAGAACGAATTTCGGAGCTGTAATCTGTAAGGTAAAGAAAACGTTTAATTTTTCATCATGAAATTGGCTACGCTCTTAGCAAAAATCATGAAATTCAATTTATTCTCCAATACGCTTTTTGGTTGACGTCAATCCAGCTTTCGTTTTCCATATATTATATTTAACCCGTAATAGTTTAAGACCGAAATTTTATGCGCGTCGAATAGGAAATATATTTCAGAAAAATTCTTCTGCGCGTGAAGGACGAAGATTTATCTCTCATAGAGATGAACATTGGCTGAACGTCAAAAGCAGGCGAAACTAACGTAATGCGCACGCTAATGTTACTCTTTTCACTGTCATGTACTTTTACATTCGACGGGGAATATTGCGTTACCACACCGTGAAATCGATATTATTGCTTGCAAATCATGTTTGTTGGGCGAATGTAAACTTCCGCGTCGGACCGCAGAGACCGCGTTTCACCTACCTCGGCGTGCGCAGTAAAGACCATTGAATCTTAGCGGCACAATGGCGTATGCTAAATCTAGTTCTTCCAAGTCTATTCCTTTCCTGAAGAACCGCGTTTCCGCCTACATTAGATCGCGAAAGAAACATTTAATCATGAAGAAATGACCCAAATGTCTACTTTAATCGATACTTATTCGATACTCGAGAAATCTCCACGTTAGAGTCGTTGAAAAAATGATTCCAAATGTTTACAAATGTAATGTATGCGTCTCTTTTCTATTTTTCATTCGTAGAGCGAAAGTCGCGAGGAAACGGTGACCACGAGTTCCACCGTAGTGACCTCCTCGAAAGGTGGGACCAAAACGAAGAAGAAGAAGATCGAGGGCGTTGCTGGTAACGATGCCACCTCGCCGAACCTTACGCCGCGCACAAAGAAAACCAAGAAGAGCAAGAAGAGCGATCTCGAGAAGGAGAACATCTCCGTGGTGAGTTATAAATCGTTTTGATAGACGCGCACGTGTGCACGGGATGTCCCGCAGCTATCCTTTCACCGGTACGTGTTCTCTAATCGTCGTAGCGTGGCAGCGAAGTCTTGCCCGAATGAAAATTTGATAGGATATCAAATCAGAAAATTCTGTTGAATTAAACTTCACATGATATTAATCGAAAAAATCGAATTTCTATGTATCCACTGTAAAAGCCTTGTCGTTATTATCGGTTTATCGGCATTTTCGTTTGAGAATGATTTATCAGATTGGTAAAAGGATCGGTGAATGAACAAAAACCACGATTGTTCTGGGACATGCTGTGTCACCCGACTATATTGTATCTACTAATTTGCTACGTTCTGTATTGATTATTGACAAGACATATATATGTCAACGCGATTTTTCATCAAGTAAACGCTGGTCATACCGGCCGCTATTCTCAGGAAATATAATTGAGGGCGGTTCTCCGACATGTGCGAGATGCGCGAGATGCGCGAGTACGAAATCACCGTGCGTGGAACCGTTATCACGCTAATTATCACTTTACCCGGTAAAACTCGCCACTGGCGCAGTCGCGCCGGTGAAAACCGGAAACTCGCGCTTTTGGTATCGCATCTGCATGCGTCGGCTCGCTGGCTTTTCCGGATTTCGTCGGCACAGATAGGAGGGATCTGATACGTGATCGCGACAGATATCGGAGCGCTATTAAGTAGAGCGCGGACGATATCGATCGAGATTGCGACGTTTCCTTTTTTTTTTGCGGGACTCGTCCTCTGCGCGCAATTACAGTCAAGCTGCAGTGGAGTAGTTTACTTCCGTTCCGAAAATCACGTATGATGTTAACATCGGTAGAAAAAAAAATAATTAGACGATATTACTTTATTAAATAATATATTTAACATTTCGATTAGTTGAACGAAGAAGAAAAACATTGAATTTGTGCTGTTATTATATCATTTTACATTTATATTTTTTATTAAAAAATATAGATTATACTTATGTGTAATGCTTCTTTTATATGATATCGTCTAATTACGTGCGGACGTCTGTGCGGACGAGATTGTGTAGCAAATTATTTATATATTTTTTTTAAAAGAAGCTTATGTCTGTAAATGTAAGGTAAAAAAATTTGCTAATGAAAGCTTTTTGTACAATACATATAAATATTGAAAAAAATACATCAAAAGTAGCTACTCAAAAGATAGTTATAATTTAAAATATCATAAGCGGGCGTAATATAAAGCGTACAGTAACACAGTCAGTATTAAAGATAGAGTCCAATGTTAAGTGGTCGACAATGTAAAAATGAATAAAAAAATAAAAATTAAGAAACGAAATGGACAAAGTTTATAATTTATTAAGAAAACATAAGCATGATTCAGAGGGATATTAAAGTGTCTCTGATTGTACTTCTAAAAATTGAATTGTGAAGAATGTGTCATAAACGAAACGTAGACTCGACGTGGAGCGTGTAATAATTAATTATTTCTATCTTTGATTATCGTACTCGACTAACGGCTCGGCGCAAGTTAGCAAGTAGACGCAGCTTATTAATCTCTCATGCAGTTGCATGCTCAGTGTGTTCGTGTTTCTTTTGTTTTTCCATCAGAACTGTAGCTTACAAGACGCAAGCATGCATACGGGCACTCAGCGATCGCATTCGGAGATGATCGATTTTTCCGCCAAGGACGATTTATCGAACGTCAATGTTAAGTCACTGGTAAGTTGCGCTGAAGCGTACGTATCTGAGAATTAACTGCAAATTACACACGCCAATAATTACAGTAAGAAATGTAATTTAATCCTCAGCTCTTACAAGTGTCGATCTAATTTTATTAATGGATATTACGCGTCTTAGAAATTAATCTTTATGTATGAGATAGCTTACGTTCAAATTATTAGAGAATTAACATGGAATTCATCGTAAAGAGCACTTTTGACATTTAAGACAGATCTTGCGGAACGCTCTCTATTCTCAGACATTCCTTTTTCCTCTCGTTTTCCTGACTTCTCTCGGCACCGAGCTGTTTCCCAGCGACGAGCCATTCGCGCGTTGCATTTATGCGAGATGCAAGTACTATTTTCTAGCTTTGTTTCTTAGTCGACGAGATGAATAGACGCGCGAATAGAGATTTCCTGACCCCGGCCACTCACCAAGTGATCTACTAGACGTGAAAGAACGGCTAATATGGGCTTTAAATAATTAACGGCGGGCGCAGTAGATGTACAATTAAGCAATTAAAAGTTACTCGTACCTATGTTGTTTGATTAAACCTGCCGACGAAATTACGTTGTTACTTTCGGGAATTGCATGTGTAATTTTGCCCCTCGCACGAGCGTGATCCAGTGAATGTTAAAATTTACCCAAGCAAGCGTAATGGAGTCGATATAACGAGCATATCTTGTAATTCTTTCACAAAGTAAAGAAATATATTTTTCCTTTTGAAGTAAGTTCGAGCGAATTATACGTGTGAAGATCGGTACCGATTAATATGTAATTAAATAACATAAATATTCAGCGAAAATTGTAGTTTGCGTAATTATTATTTCGTGGCTGCGTCCTGAACGTACATGTTTGTTGTTGCATGTTTACTGATCCGCCTGCATTTTTGTTCTTTTTGCGCATGCAGACACAGAACTATGTCTCGGAAACGAGTCGTAGTGATCAGGAGAAGTTGTGCAGGGAGCGGATAGCGACTGGCGTGTCCATCAAGCAATTAGTAAGTAACAACCATGTAGCCGGCATGATCGCGTTTGCAATGAAAGGAGACACATGAAGTAGACACATTAGATAGTGTCGCCAATTACTCCGTCATAGTCTTTTCTTCGTAAAATTAAAAAGGCCAATTTTCTCGATCGGCGAGATATCGATTTAATTAATGTACGCTTTCGCTACAAATCTGCTTCGTTAATAGCATATGTGATACATTTGTCAGATATATATTTTGTCACTAACAGTGTCGCAGCTTTGGCGACATCTCGAACATGAGTGACGGCGATCAGGCAACTTTTGGGAAAGCGAACCATACGATGGAAATTGAAGAGGTTTGTATATTGTATTAATTCGTCCAAACACGTATCGCGAATGTCTCGTATTTGTTTTTGTCCTGGTCGATGTAATTGAAAGCGATATTATAACAGCCATGCAAATTTTGGATAATTTAAATTATTTAGCAATCTTTTTTCATAAAATTTTTTTTCAATGAGAGATAATAATCTTAAAATTATATTTAAGAAGATAATAAGATTCTTCTAAAAGAAGATTATTTTTTTATAATTATCTGAAGAAACCGCGTTTTCCTGATAAATGTATCTCGGTAAAAAATTTTTCATGCATGAATATGTATAAATATGTATAAACATACATAAACATTCATAAATATTCATAAACATGTATAATTATATGTACATGAAATATGTTGATACATGTTTATACATCCTTCTTCTTTTTTGTAAAATTAATTTTTAGTGTAATAGAAATAATAATAGTAACGTAAAAACAAAAAATAATTAAAGAGATTTTCGCATGTTTGTTTTAGAAAAAAATAAGTTTGAAAAAAATGTAAACAAAATTACTCATATATAATTTTATATTTAATTATACATAAATAATTTTTTTACATTTCTTCAAACTTGATTTTTTCTAAAACAAATAATGTGAAAATTACTTTTTTAATTATTTTTAATGTTTTCACATTACTATTATTATTTCTATTACACTAAAAAAAATGTTACAAAAGAAAAAAGAATGTATGAACATGTATAGACATATTTCATATATTATACATATTTATAAATATTTATGCATATTATACATATTTATGAATATTGTTTACGTATATTTATACATATTTATACATGTTCATGCATGAAGAATTTTTTACACCGGGTGTGTACTTGAATAAATTTTCATTTATACCTTGCAATATTTTGTAAATTTTAATAATTGGTATTTTTTATTTATTTATATTGTTTTATCGTGGTAATAAAAAGGATCGGTTACTGTTAGACAAAATTTGCAAGCATGCGAATGCTTATTAACGATGTTGCAAATTAATTTCGGGCGTATGACAGGAATGAAAAATGCATTGTGTAACTTTTGTTGTTGCATGAGTCATTTTCGACATTTGCTTTATAATGTGGCGACAATATTACGTAAATTCCAAGCAAATAAACATCCTGATAGTATACTAATAGTCTAGAGTGCGAGTTCTGTGACACAAATTTCTAATAATAGCACAATTGTTTTCTGAGTAATTATATCTTTATAGAAAGTATCTTTTTACGCGAGATAATGAAGTTTATTTCCAACAAAGCATAACTTCGTTATCTTAATTAACGTCGTATCAAATAATGTTACGAAGTCTCGTGGCAATTAAAAATAAAATAATAAGATGTCATCAAAATTTGAAATATTTTTTGCAATTGAAATATTTTTATTTGACAATTTTAAAAAACATCTATATAATAATTATAAAATCTTTATTTGGTGAGGCGGTTCCATTATCGCTTGCGATCAATATTTCACAGAGCTCGCGTCTCTCGAAACGACTCACCGCTAATTTGTATTCTCGTTGATGCTCTCGCCCCGATCGTAGAAGGCGAGGTCTATGGGTGATCTGAGAGTATGCGAGCAGGGTTACTCGCGGTTTACCAGAGACGCACCCGTCTTCGCCAGGGTGTCGGTCAAGGCCCTCGTAAGTACCTCTCGTAAACGGCACGAACAACATTGAAGTCAGTCGAGCGAATGGAATAACGTTAGATAAAGCGCGAGCTCAGTCTAATGAAACTAGAACTTTATCAAGGTTCGCAATCGGCAATTTCTACTCGGGAGTAACGATCTATAGAACCTCTCGCGGTGGGCGTGTAATCGTTCTATCCTACGGTATTTGGAGGCGGCTGATTACGCATTTACCGCGCTTGCATTAATTGCGAATATTTAAAGCGAAGCGAACGCAACGTCCGTAGCTTGAACGTTGTATTCGAACGTTCACGTTGTTGAAAATCCTCGTACGAATGACAATTTTTTTTTTTTTTTTTTTGGAATAATTTAATAATAAAGAATAGCATAAAGAGATCTTTGTAAAAATATTCGGATAAATATTCTCCGGAATAAACGCTCGGTCAAGTACACCGCTACGCATTCCGAGAACTCGCCGCACGTATGTCGGAGTAGTTTACCGTCACGCTGCGAATGCCGTCTCTCCATTTATGGAAGGGCCGACTTGATAATAACAGACTACTTATTTGCCCTACTTCAGCCGATTACGGGGAAATGCAGGGTCCGGATGTCGATTACAAGTTTTTTGCCCCGTATTATCGGTCACGCGGTTATCGGTTATTTTGACGTGAAGCTCACCTCCCGATGAGAAGGCACCATCTAGAATACCTATGCATTCCGTCGAAATTTCGTGTGCTTCCTCGCATTTTCCATCGCAAATACGGAGAGAAAAGCGGATCGACCTTCCTCGTGAATTAGTCAATCGAGATCAAAGCGCTCGTTAAACGTCGCAAAGAAACGTCAGCCATTGCTTTTATTTTGAATGAGCGAAATTGAAACAAGCTAATTTTATAATCGCTTCTAAAATGAAACAAATAAATAGCAAACAATAATGATAAGCATGTAATAAATAAAAATTATTCTTTATAAATTCTTTAAATAGAATCTTACTTTAAAGAGTGAAAATTGAGCCTTAACAAAGACTCAGTCTTAACAAAGAATGACTCAATGTTCAATCTTTGAACAGTGAGATTTATTCTAAAAATTTTAAAGAGTAATAAACGCGAGATGTTTACGTTTTTAAATTAAATTAAAATTCAAGAATTAAAATAACGGCGTTTAAAGTATGGTACTTTTCATTTTAATGAGTCTTTATGTTTTATTCATACCTAAAAATTACATAACTGATAATGTTTAACTTAATGTTAAAATTCCTTTTATTCCAATAATTAATAAGAAAAGAGAGAACGTAATATAGCATAATAATTTGTTAACATGATACATCGCATAAAAATATGGCGTTAATGAAGTACTTGCGTTAGAAGATTGATAATGTAGACCAACTAAAAGTTTGCGATTATTTTACCGAGGAATACACCGTGATACATTTAATAACGTGTGATGATGCCGAAGCAAAGCCAATTTGAGATAAAGAGTGAATTCGTGACGCAAAGTGATCGTCCGACGTGATTGAACGGTAATTCTGCGCTACTTCCAATGTTGTTCTTTGTCCGTTGTTCGTTTTGTTCGTTCCCCTTTTCCTTGGTCATCAGACGCAGCAGTTGGCACAGCTTCGATCAGCGATTAAAACGCCTCACACGTACACCATACGAGCCAAAAGTAACTTATTTTCTTGCTTGCTACGGTAAAAAAGATTTCTTTTTTTTTTTCTTTACACAAGAAATCGTAAATAATTCAACGCGAGAAACAGGCTGCGAATACAATATTCAATTGCATTAGGGAAAGACCGATTAACAATGCGGTGCTTCGTATAGTAGATGTCTTTATAAATATTAAGGCTTAATATTAAGCCGCAATATTAAAAACGGTAACCCACCGACGGTTCTTCGTAGAAAATCGTTTTCTCTTACGTACGTTTCGTCTCAAGAACATAATGCATACGTTTTATTGAGTGTACGATAGAATGTTGGCTTGGAAAAAGGAACAAATTGATACTCTCGAAGGTAAATATTAGCCCGAGGCATCGTCGCGTTGTCTCCTCCAAGAACGCACGCTCGTCCTCAACCGCGTGAGGGATATTTCTGCCAATGCGCAAATCGCAACTTCGAAATTTCCGGTCGCGACATTCGATGACACCATAACTGCGGAATGTTGCAAATCCGCTAACTGCTGCGTCCTGAGACACGGTAATCGGCTTACCGTGTCTTATCCGCCTGTGTCTCTTTTTACACCAAACCATACTAACGCGCGGTCCATTTCTTCTCATTGTTGCGACGTTACCTCTTCCCGGCATGTGAAACCCTAAATTGACAATCACTGAAACCAACCCCCGGGGAGACAGAGGGCTTCCTATTGTAGTTTGGCAAGTTTAACGAACGAGGGTAAGGACAAGGATCGAGCATGCGAGAAGCCGAAGCTCGAGGTAAGACTCCGACGAGGAAAAGAGAGATAACACCTTAGCATGATAAGGTCGGTTCGTACAGAGGTACAACCCGAATTTTTTCCTCTTTTTTTTGTTGCTTTTATTGCTCTTAAGAAAAGATAAAGACATATGCTTCGCTTGCTTAGCTTGCGATTGATTTTATTCGTTTTCAGACCTTTGTACGATCTTTCCTCGAAAAATAAATGTCATCCTCGTGCAAATCAGAAATTGTAATATAGAAATGGAGTTTAGTATTGTGTTATTACGTAATTACACAACAATATTGCCTTCTTTTGATCAAAATTATTTTTTTAAGAGAATTATTACAAATTGAATATTTCAATCATATATGCAAACAATTTGTAATCGTTTAATAATTTTGCACGTACAGTTTCCAATTGCGCACGATGATGACTTGTTTGAATCTGCTTATTTTTTCTTTTATTTCTGCTTGCATTTTATTTTGACAATAATAAAGGTATGCTGAAAAATTTTCTTGCTTCTTTCATAATGCTAGAAAAAATAAATGCCTGCGGAACGTATTTTCGGGTATTTTTTTTTTTCTTCTTTCTAAACTTCTTGACTGTAGTGCTTATTATCTGATATTATTGCCGTTTGTATTTACAGAAATCGAGCTTTAATAAATTCAGACGCTCTTAGCAAGAAAGTCCTTCATGTGCGTTCGGTTGATGCGGGGAAAGTCCAACAGCAGTTGAATGCAGTAAGTGTTCATTATTTATTTTATATTAAACTTAAAACATTTGTCGCTACAATTTTTATTTTGCAACCGTAATTTGTAGTCATACTTAGAAGTAGTTTGAAACGAAATAAATGTAGAACAATTTGCGTGTAACTAATCCCTTCGATATTACTTCACATTCGAAAATAAAATCTTTCCTAAATTAAACTTGTTTTAATATAAAATTATTATTTTTTTGAATGATAAATTTAACTGCGTTAAATTCCAAGTATGGGAATCAATACGCGTGCATTTAATCGAATCGAATCAAACCTAGAGAATCGTCCTCTCGTTTCTTCGTAAGCGGGGAGAGTGAAAGTTGTGAAGGTGCTAATTAATTGGCGCACTGGTGCATTGCAGGTGGGTCAGAATGCCGATGCGAATACGAACTGTCGCAGCTGTGGCAAGGTCGTGTTCCAAATGGAGCAGACAAAGGCCGAGGGTCTGGTCTGGCACAAGAATTGCTTCCGGTGCGTGCAATGCAGTAAGCAGCTCAATGTGGACAATTATGAGAGCCACGAGAGTAAGCTCTACTGTAAGCCACACTTCAAGGAACTCTTCCAACCGAAACCGGTCGAGGAGTCCGACCAACCTGGTAAGATGATTACCATCCTGCGCAATATTAATCTGCTTAAATGGATCGTCTTTGCGAATTGCTCGTTAAATCTTAACATAGACGTTTAAATGACCAACCGTGGATTCTATCGTCTCTCCATCTCGTCGCTAATCTCTCTGAGGTCAACTTTGTGCGGACAAAGTGAGCCCCAATCTTCAGCCAGAGTGTATTAAAGGGACATAAAAACATAGATATATTTTGATGGGAATGGACGAGAAAACTGGAAGAGATAAAGTTTGCTTTCTTGGTCTCGTCGTCAGTCATAAGTTTCTTTCGCGCCACGATTAACGACGTGCTTGATTAATTCCAGTCGTCGCAAATCATAATTATAAATATTCATTTGTCCTTCGTTTTCTATATAAAAAACGTTTTACAAATTCATCATTCGAATTCATCGTTTTCTATATAAAAAACGTTTTACAAATTCATCATTTGATCAAATTCATCGTTTCCTATATAAAAAACGTTTTACAAATTCATCATTTGACAGATATATATCTGAATATATGATGAATTTGTAAAACTATAAACAATTAAAAATAAGATTGCATCCTTGATATAAAGATAAGTAATAATGATAAGAAATACGTCTCGGTTTTCTGTGCAATGAAGACAATAGTATATGGAATTCAGGTATAATAGTGTAAGGCTGCCTTAATGTGCGGACATAACTTAGAAGGCCCGAGTGCATCAGTGGGTCGTCTAAGATCCAGTTTATTAAGCCCCTTAGCACAGGGGCTAGAATTACAGTTCTCTTTTCTTCTCTTCCCCCTCGTATAATTACGTGCAAGCATCCGAGCGCTGAGAGAACGAGAGGTATCGTTAATGTGACAAAGAGTTGTCTTGTGAACTCCGCAGTGCGACCTCGAAAGCCGGAGCTGATCATACGGGAGAACGAGCCGAAAGAATTGCCGCCCGATGTGGTCAGAGGTAACGACAACAGCAACAACAACGTTCGACGTGTGTGAGTGGCGTGGAACGCGATCTGGCGATTGCTCCTAACGCTCAATGTGCCCCTTTTGCGAGTGGCTTTTTAACCGTTGATTGGTTGCTGAATCGAAAATTTATCTGTGCATCAAATCGCGTAACGTATCCCGCATTGGTGTGCCGATTAATAAAACGGGACATGAATCATTATTAACGCCGGTCATTTCATTAGTCGGCATGTATTTCTCGGGATCTACTAAAGCAATATAAATTACTGATACATTCCATAGAATTACGATGTAATTTGTACATAATCTTGCTCTCGATATTAAAATTAATTTTTTTGTCTGCATGAAAAATTGGCCAACATCATTTAGTGATAATATTCTTAACGCTCCATGTATTAAACTCACGAACAAAATCTCCTTAATTAGTATATTTTAACATATTGTATATACGTGTCTGCTTATGTGTCTTCCTTATTTCATTTAACTCGGTCAGAGTTTTTAAAAAATTTATTTAAATATATGAGAGTGTGTCATACATATATAATGGTTTGCAAAATTGCTAGCGAATTGAAATGAAGAAATAAATATTGCTATTTGCGAGAGATGTGCGATTGTAAATCGTAAGAATGATATTACGTTATATACGATATATTAATAGATCTCGAGAGTAAACAATTGGATAATATCTCGTCGTAGTGGTATGCGATGTGACATCCATGGGAAGAATGTAAGAAATTTGTAAGAGTCGTAACATGATCGATGTTTGAAATTGAATGCTGTGGCTCATATTTGACCTGATGTTATCATATCATGACGATAGGTTCAACTCTCTCTTCTTGATATGAGTCCTTTTAACTCTATCCGATGCTTTTCAAAATTTTCGTGTAGTGTGTGCAACTTTTTCCGCGAATTGTCGTACTCGAGTGGTCTAACAAATTTATCGTCGGATAAAAAAAAAGAGAGGGTGTTGAAATGTTTGAACAACTGTGAGTATCGCTAAAAGAGAGGAAGTAAGAAGATTTCTGAATTTCAGCTTCCGACAAACCTGATCTGGGACTCGAGGAACTTTCAAGCTTAAACGTCAAGTCGCGCTTCCAAGTCTTTGAGAAAGCTAGTACGGAGAACACCAATGAGATCGAACGATCACCATCACAAATCGCCGTCAAGAGATCACCCAGCATCCTTAGCAAACTGGCCAAGTGAGTAATCGGTGACATATTTCTTAGGATATTTTTATAAAATAAATTATTTTAATTTAAAAAATCTGTATATTGATATTATAAAATTTCTAAGATTTTCTCGACTATGTTTATACATATGTATAAATATATATAAATTAAATAAATATTAAATAGTAAAGTCAAGTCTTGTCTTTCTTCGATAATATATTGTTCTCTCTACGAGCAATGATAATTTTAAAACATGAATACCGTGACACAAATTTACTTCTGTTGAAGATAATAATAAGCCTGTAATTTTGCCGGATGAGCATTTCTCGAAATGACAAAGCATACAATTATTAATTATTGCATATATTTTTTACATAGAGGATTAGAGTAATAATTCAAATCTAATTAAAAATAATAAAAATTTTAATTCGCGAAATTGTTCCACTTATAAATATAATCTCTCTCTCTTTCTCTCTCTCTCTCTCTCTCTCTCTCTCTCTCTCTCTCTCATTATAATATTTTATGATTTGGATTTCTTATAATTAGTATATATTTATCAAAAAACGTATTAAAAGATCTCGAGATATTGTGATTATATTCAGATTTTTATTATGGCGATTGTTAATTTGAATATAAATTGATGATTTTATTAGTATGTTATGTGTGGATATAAGTCGGTATAAACGAGGTTTTCATGGTATTTAGCAGTCAGCAGTTTCGTTTTTGTAACTTGAAACTCGAGAAAATACAGAGTAAATGTGTTACAACAAGCGTAACGGCGCATTCATCGTGTGCAAAGTATCTATAACTACTGCGTATGTTTTCTCATCCAGATTTCAAGCGAAAGGCATGGACATTGGCGTGGCAGACGAATCTCTCAATGGTATACCTTATGAAGAGTCCAGCGAAAGTGAGGATGAAGTAGAGGCAGAAGAAACCGAAGGTAGTCAATAAGAAAATACTGTCAATTAAAAAAGAAAATACGCAATAAAAATCTATAGATTTATTAAACTTGTTGAATATAAATTTTCAATTTAAATACAAATTTTTTAATCTGTCTCTGATAAAAAAAATTGTTTATATGTCAATATTTTGACTGTCATGCGTATCCAATTAATACACATCTATGTGGGTGCAGGATAGAGTTTGAGTATTCAAGAATATTAGTTATTGCATAGAAAAATAAATTATTTTAACTTATATTACGTATCATATAAGCTTACGTATCTCATCATATTTGTGTCATAATTTTGTAATAAGTATCATGTCATTGATTTGTAACTTACGACTTCGTTTTTTTATCTTTTATGACGAAATTTAATGATATTGATTCACAACATACATTATATTGCTTGTTATTTGAGATGATATTTATTATCCTCACCTCGCGTATTTTTTTATGCACATAGATTGAATATCCACAAATAACAAATATTAAATTTTAACAAGTCTTACCAATTTACATTTAATTTATGAAAGTTATGTGTATAAAGTTAAGTGTATAAAGTGATATGGTGTTAGGAGATTGATTATAAAAATCAAAGTATTAAATTGTATTGTAATTGTGTTTATTTTTTCCATTTTAGAAGTGGAATCCGAAATCGTGAAGTCAAAACGCACTACACGCGAACGACCGATCAGCTTTTCGAAGATGGACGACATCAAAAATCGTTGGGAGAGCACCAGCCAGCAGGGAAGACGCGAGGTTCAGCGCGAGGCTAGGAAGGAAGAAATCGCAGGAATCCGTTCGCGATTGTTCTTGGTAATTTCAATAATTTTATATGAAACTATAAAGGATAATATTACAATAAGATCGTAAGCTTTATTGTTATTATTTTATGATATTATTGGTTTAAGAAAAAAGTCACACGTCCGTTATAACGGTTTTAATATTAACGCAGATGTTTGTATCTTTTTTATTATCATTATATACGCGTGTAATGTCATAAAAGTGTAAATTGAACTGTCAGAGAACAGCTGCACGCGTTTCTTTCTCAACGTTTATATATTGACCTGTTTTTTTCTCAGAAACCTGCTCTTTAAATACGACAGATTTTTCCTTTACATTGCACTTTGCTGAATTTAATTTAAAAGATGCCATTTTTTTTAATTTCTCTTTTCCTTCGATTTACAGGGTAAACAGGGTAAGATGAAGGAAATGTATCAACAGGCAGTAGCTGGAAGCGACCGTGTTACGAAGATAAACGCAGCAGAGGAGATTCAGCACTCGACTACCCACGCTCGTTCCCTCAAAGAGAGATTTGAACGGGGCGAGCCAATCGCAGCGTCAGACGACGAAACTGATAGTAAACTGAAACCGGAGAAAGCCGACGAGGAGGTGATCGCAGCAGGTATAAAATGGACTTTCAGCAATTAAATGACTTGCGAATCGCGAAGACTAGAGAATTGCGAAAAGACGTCAAGATGGTAATTTGAAACAGACTGACGAAATGTTTGATCGCACTACTTGTTACACTACATATAATTGTGATTATATAGGAATGGAGAGGAATTACGTGATGAACTTTTTTTTAGAAGTACCTATGTAACGAAAGTCCAGTCGCAATGAGAAATATATAACAAGTGTTTTCGTCGTTTGTATCATTTCATACTTTGAAGATATAAATAGTTATTCATAGTTGCGCGCGCGAGAATGAAGGCATTTAATAATTTTTATATAATAATTCTTCAGATTAATAATTCTTAAAAATCTTATAGTTATTAATCTATACCTGTCTTATATGAACTCTTTCGAGAGAAAAACTCAAAAGAAAGTAACCTAGTATTTCTTATAATACGAGACGTTCCGCGCAAAAACTCTCTACTGAATAGAAGACTGTGTTAAGAGGTCATATTATTATTTGTCGACTTTACATGAGAAATTATTTTTATTCTGAACAAAAATAGATTATGAGTTGTCGAATTGCGCAGGATGAAAGTATCTTTACTAATTGACAGTTTGAATTTATGAATGATTTATGATAATCTATATTTATAATAATATATGTTGGTCACGCAAACACGCAGCAAAAACAGGACGCCCAGTGACGCCAGTTCATCCAAAAACGCCAACCGAAACTTCACGACGTGCACGAGATGTAAGTCTAGTTACTTTTATCTGTTATACATATTATATTTTTATTATATTTTTAATTATAAACCCAAAGCTCACTTTGAAAATTATTAAAACATGAATTTATCTGCTAAAATTACGAGACTAAAAGGTTTCTATTTTTTATATACAGTCTTTTAAACACTTATAGCTTGGAAAATTAATTCTAAAATTATTAAAATATGTATTTTTTCTTAGTAAGTATCTATATATTAAAAAATTTAGGTAATAATTTGTTTAATATAATTTCTTCAATTCAAAAGGTTTTAGATTGTGACATTGATTAGTATAAGATTCAAAGTAATAGTTAAACAAAGAAAATATATCTTTGAGGCAAATGTGTCTCACTTTTGAACGTGAGGTTTTTCACTAAACGCACATGCAATATCAATAACGCGTTCAGTAATGATAATTTCTGAAATATTTGTGAGAAAGGCCTTCATGGGTCGTCAAGTCTCAGACGATGTGGTGCGCAGCTCAGATGCGACCGAGGAGATCCAAGTAGAAACGTCGGAAATTTCGAACAAGTTCAAATTCTTCGAGTCCTATAAGGAACCGGAGAAACAGCGGAAGCAATTTCGCATTACGCCGCCTCGAGACGGTCAAGTCAAGGTTCGATCCTTCGACTTTATTGTCGTTGATTGATTCATGTCTGTGTTAATTTTCTCTAACAATCTTATGCGTGTCAACTAATTAAACGGTCATGATTTACTATATGATTTATTTTATGGAGTGATTTTGCTTAAGAATTTTTACCGTCTATGGAATTACAAGAATGTAGTAAGCAGGAATATTTAAATACCCGAATTAAAGAATATAATTTTATTTTTATCGCTTAAATTATATTGTTTATTTAATAATGACTGACTATTATTAGACTAACAAAAATAGACATATATAAAATTTTTATAGTCTATTGCTGGAGAATTATTTTAATGACTCTCTTCTATTTGTGAAAGTAGTATTATCGTATATAGATATATATTTATATTATATGCCGAGTATATTGCATTTATCAATGATATTATTATCGATTTAACCTGAAGGATTTTCAGGTTATTGATAAAGAAAAAAATGTAAAGATATCTTAACACGATTTATATTATTATTAGAGATACAAGAGATAATTCGTATTGTAAAAGGAGATATTGGTTTGCCCAGAAACAGCGTGATCTCATTTTCAATTAAGATAGGAGAAATATGTGCGCTCATACGTGTTTGACTGTTTTAAATTGCATCATGTCTTTAATCATCCGCATTTTATGTACGTTCTATTTTTTTGTCTGACTACTAAAAACACTAACGTGGTTTTGTATTATTTTCCGATTACATAACTCTCCATTAAATAACATTTATATCTTAATTGCTCAAAATTTGTCTAAAATATTAACTTCAAATTTTAGTTAAAGATAATTATAATTATTATTAAAATTATGATTGCCATACTTACATAATTAAAAAGTAAATTTCAAGTTATTTTTTTTATATTAAAACGAGAAGAGTTATTAGAGCCTAGCAAGATAACTTATGCTATAATAAAACTTTATTGAAATAATAAACAATTTTTAATAACAATTTTTAAACGTTTCGATCTTTTTCAGACTGAATAGGACTTTCTCGTTTTAATATAATTAAATTTATTCCGAGTAAAGCCGTCTTACATATATTTAATTATTTTTTTTTTACTTTAGATCGAATCCAAGATTAAGTAACACCTGCATTTTCTTTGACTCCCCTTATTTGATATTTTATTGCAGATAAAACAAATTTTCCGAATGATAAAAAAGTAATAAGGCATTTAAATTATACTTTTTATAAATAGTATTTTTGATATTTCTATTATAACAAAGAAAATACTCCGAATCATAAATCTTATTTCAGATATTGTATGTATATCTTAGGAATGAAATATTCGTATTAGAATTTAAATGAAACATTTGTTATTTTACAAGAATATACAAATTTTTTACATGAATATGTATAAATATATATAAACATATATAAATATATATAAACGTATAAATATTCATAACGTGTATAATTATATATGAAATATGTCCATACATGTTTATACATCCTTCTTCCTTTTGTAAAATTAATTTTTAGTGTAATAGAAATAATAATAGTAATGTGAAAACATAAAAAATAATTAAAGAGATTTTCGCATGTTTGTTTAGAAAAAAACAAGTTTGGAAAAATGTAAAAAAAATTGCTTATACATAATTATGCATAAAAATTATCTTTTTAATTATTTTTAATGTTTTCACGTTACTATTATTATTTCTATTACATTAAAAAAAATTTTACAAAAGTGAAAAGAATGTATGAACATGTATGGACATATTTTATATATAATTATACATATTTACGAATATTTATGCATGTTTATGTATATATTTATACATATTTATACATGTTCATGCATGAAGAATTTTTTACCGGGATAGCAACCCCTCATGTCTTCTTTCATCTATCGATACATCGCCGGCGTGAGACGCGAGTTTATCGATAATTATCAAAGTCTCACTATCGTTCGCGGATGCGGCTTAATAAAAGAGGGCCTCGTGCATCTCTTGGGGAACCGGCGGCAATGCGCCTCGCGCGGAACGCACGACACAACGAGTCGATTCCAACAAACCGGGCTGTCCTTGAACCCCTCTCCCGAAGTGGTCAGCGCAGCAGCAGCCATACTTTTACCGTTAGTATTCCTACATCCTTCCATTCGTGAAGAGCAAGCGGGGCAACATAAGCGGACCGGGTACCAGCGCGTTGGGCACGGGAACCTTAACCGAGGGAAGGCGCGACGCGCGACGAGGCCTCTCGCAGGAACTCACACACACACACGCGCGCACACACGCACACACACACACACGCATACTCTCAGGGGAGGAGGGCACACACCGTCGGTCCCCTATCCTCTTGTGAACGGCATAGCAACCGGCTGTCGCGCCATCCGTACGAACTTCTCACGAATCGAAGAGAAGGAGAGCCTCCCTCAAGAAGCGCGCCGAAGTGGCGAACCGGACTCGCGCAGTTTGAACGACGACGCTCAGTCTCGTTCCGCTCGCCGAAGGGGCTTTAATAATCACGGAAAGGTAATTATCGGTCCGACGAACGCTTCGGTTACGTTCTGTAATTGCGATAGGAAATACTGTGCTTTTAACACACTTAGTTATCCGAAGTTTCTTCTGAGCGGCACATTTCGAAAAAAGTGGTGCAAAAAGCAAGCTGATGAATCGTTAATGCCTAGATATAATGAGCGTTTCGGTTCATAGTTAACGATCTGCGAATAATTTACATATTCTTCTTTGAGAGACTGTGAAATTGGAGACTTAATGCTTGGGATTCCGGTTATAATTGAAGATTTTTTTTTTTTATTAATATCTTATGAATGACATATTTATTTATAAGATCGACAGGAAGACTTTCTGGCAATTAATTGGAAAGTAATCAATGCGGCGGTTAATTATGCTCTGCGATTGCAATCAATTTTTCAAGATACCGTTTGGTAATCGAGGTTCTTCAAGGAGGAATATTGTGTTCTACTTTCCATAAAAATTATATACTTCATATACATGAATGTTCCATTTACTTCGGAGTATTGCTGCGCGATTGGATTTTTCGGAGTACTGTATTTGATATCTAATATCCAAGCTTTCTAAAAAAAAATTGCAATGTTTGAGTTTCAATTCATGGCCGTTACGACAATTGAAAATAATTTCAAATAATTAATTTGCACATCAATTAATTGTTTAATTACATTTGCATTCGATTTATATATTAATACACTGAAAAAAATCTTAATTTTAAAGAAATATTTCTTTGCTCGTATTAAAAAAAAAATTATTTCTTTGGATCATTAAAAATTTCGTTGAAAATAAGATATTTTGTACAATAAGATATCGTTTCAAAGAAATAATTTTTTTTAATACGAGCAAAGAAATATTTCTTTAAAATTAAGATTTTTTTTAGTGTATAAATCGCAGATCGTATTTTTCGGAATATTATCTGTATGTTTGTTAACATACGAGATCATAATCATAAATTATTCTGTATCGAATGATGTATTCTGATGCGTTTGCAGATACAGCGAAAATTGCGTGAGACTTTCATATGAAAGTTTCAATTACTTCAGACATATTTAGAGCGAACGATTAATATGTGCAACCGCAATGTGTTTTCATCGAATTGTTAATTGTTCGTAAGTGGCCACCGACTAATATACAATCGAGATCTCTTCGTCGTGTGATTATAAGAGCGTTTCCGTCGACGATGAAGGAACGGACGTCGCTCGGGGGGGCGCAATCTCGACGTGGCTTGATTTGCCGCTTGACGTGCCGGCAGAGGGATACCGTGTGATCAAATATCCTTTCTGGACTGATGATTTTATGGAATTCCGTTGGAAGTACTCTCCCGTAGATCCTCTCGACTCCATTATCACAGCGCGAAATCCGACTAAGATATTACTAAGCGTTCTTTTTTCGTTTTGTCAGGACCGAAAATAAAATTGTAATCTTCAGATTAGTTAATTTAGAAACTTCTCAAGCATTTTTAATTTAGAGACTTCTCAAGCATAATTTAGAGACTTTTCGAAATGTTTTTCATTTTAGAGAATACAGAAATATCTTTGCAATAGCACCATTTTTACAGTTAATTTTTTATTAATTCTTTATTTTTATGATTTTCTGTGTAATATTCGCATTTACAATTTCAATGTAAAAAATAAATTGTAACATATGTAAAAAATAAATTGTACATAACTCGTTTATGTACTGTGACGGGAGATTTCCTTAATTCAAAACTAAATGCTATCATATAATCTAATATTGCACGGGAATTATCGGTTTTCTATTTCCTGACGTTTTCAAACGAAAATTCTCACTGGATTCATTTAACGTTTATTTATTATTCAATATCTTTAATTGATTTATTCAATAGCACTGTTCGACAAAAATCACTTTTCTTTCTCTTCGAAGTGTCATAATAAATTTTCCGAAAATTTTTTCGCGTTGAATAATTGTCAGAATTTGTGTAGCTCATCAGGATGTTGAGTAAAATGAGGTGAAATGGATTTTTAGTCATTTTTAACACTTTTTTTTACAGCAAAATAAAAACTTGTTTTTTAAAGTTTACATCAATGTGCAATTTTATCAACGACATCGTGTTCAATGCAAAAAAATCTTTAGAATATGTAATACGATATTTCAGAGAGAATTTGATTGTTACACAATGTAATTTTAGATCTTTTTTCGGTTCTATCTTTCCATTGCAAAACAATTAAAAGCGATTAATTAATAAATAATAAATATGCAAAGAATGATTTGATGAAACGTATGATACACAGTCACTTTTTTCCTCTTTAATTATACGAGCTGTTTATTTCAATTTTAATTACTTTAATTATTTCCTTCCAATTATATATATAACGTGCCTATTTTAAATTCTTAAAAATTTTGTTCTCAAAATAAACGACTCACACTTTTTGCTGCAGTACTGACTCGTTGGCATAAACGAGAAGCGAATGGACAGATCAAGTGACGGCAATTGACCGTTACAGAGTGCGTATACCACTCTTAAACCTGTCAATTTATCGTCATTAAATGCTAACCTTGAAGCGGGTACTGCAACCCTTTTGTCTAACTAAAATCGATTTGTCAACAGTCCTAGTCCCGATTTAAACTAGCACAAGGGTGGTCTTCTTAAAATATTGCAAGACGCAAACAACCTTCGATCACTCTACGTGATCAGCAATCAGGTTTTCAACTTACCTGACCCATTTGGGTTCAGGTATAGTATAAACGTGGACAGACCGATCAGGCGATTCAGAAGGGTCAAAACCTTTGTCTCGAGAAGAAAGACTCTGTTTTATATAATAGAAACCCATATATTGCAGTATCTTACAATTAGTTGAAATGTGCAAAGCATGCTAATATTTATTAATTTACTTATGTATGTTGCATGGCTTCTTATTAATTTATTTTTAATAATAAGCACATCAATATTTTTCAAAATTGTAATTTGAGTGCAATTGAATTTTTTATCCATGAATGTAGCTATTTTTTCTTTAAAATGTTATTTAAGTTCTCAGAAATATATTACATTTACTGATATCATTATAACATAATATTTTTTATTAAAAGAAAAAAAGTCTATATATGTACTTTCTACATGAGATTTATAACCGTACCACTCACGGTTGACTCAGAATCCTCGAAGTGACTCATGCCGGATACGATTTGTAAAAAGAAACATTTCGGCCGTCAATCTCCAGCTTAGCTGGGTCCTCCTCCAACGTATTATGACTCAAATATTCAGTTTAAAATTATCAAGCGATAAACAATATAGGTGTACTCTTAATCGAGCATCATCTGTCCTTGTCGTCTTATCATATAATCTCTCTACGAATTTTGAAACAGTATCAATTATGTGAATAAATGAATATGGTACACGTCGAAAATATATTCAACTTGCAATAATTTTTGATATATTGATGTTTACAAAATTTGGAAAAGTATAAGAAAGAAAGAAATAAACAATTAATGTACAAAAACTCTAAATACTTACATAAATTATTAATAATTATTAAAATAATTAATACAATTAATTCTTTACATATAAAATATATTTGTACAATTTAATTTTATTTCTTCGATAAAAATAATTACTTTATATTTCAAAATCTATTCACGTTAACTTAAAAAAAATATAGTTAAATTATAAAAAATATATAGTTTTGAATTATATAATTTAATTAAAAGATAATTTCTGAATAATATACAACATACTTCGAGTATGGTTGAAAGTATTCGATACGATGCGAGACGAAAAAATTTGTTAAAGAATTCGTCAACTAGAAATACATTTTTTTATCAAAAAATCAATACATGTTCCGAAGATGAAAGAAATAATTTTATTACGAAACATAGTTCAATATTATCTTATATAAAAATAATAATTAAGTAGAATTAAAATTGCTTTATTTAATAAACTAGCACAAGGGATAACAATGAAGTTATGTGATTTTTTTAAACTTACATTTGATTGTTATGTTAAACATGTATTTTCTTTCGCAGATGGATTCACCGGATCGCGAGATTTACCGCGATCCAGATGTAGTCAGAGCCGACGACAGGGTGGACGAAGTGGTGCGCACAGACACAGCGAGGAAGATGCTGTCCATCTTTCGGCAGATGGAAGAGAACGCGTGCAAGGAAGAACTGCCGGAGGGTCCGAAGCCCTTGAAACGTTTCACACCGCCTCCTGAGGATAAATTCGCCAAAGCAACGGCCTCGGACTCGGAGGAAGGCGAGGATGAAGAGGGCGAGGAAACCGACGGTGATGAAAGCGCTGAGGAGAGAGATCCTAACTACGTCCGTGCTTCCGATAAGGTTTGTGTCTGTGCACTTTTTTATTAACGAAAAATTGAAAAATTTTAAAGAAATACAAAAGATATAAATATATAAGAGAAGGACTACAATAAGAACGATATAAAAGTTACATGTCTCATAACATCGAATTAGTATCTTTCTTAAACTTTTTCTATAGATATTGTTTTGTATTTCTTGCGTAAAACGTTAAAATAAGACTGAATTATTAATTTCAATTATGAAATTTTTGAATTTTTTTTTTGTTCTTTTCTAACAAGTTTTCTTCACGCCATATATATATAATTTCCTAATTATTAATAAATGTGATGATCTACAAAATCTCGAAAGTGGCCAGAGCAAGGCTGTCCTAAAACGTGTTATTAGACAACTTTAAAAAGTCGGCACGAACTTTCGAGACAGGTCGTCGTCCGTTCAAAATTTCGGGAAAACAGCTCTTTATTCCCGATCGACACGACTCCATCCTATAATCTACGGAATCATTTCACCTGTTATCGGGCTAGGTGGAGGACGAATTCTTGAAACAAGCGCAGAATGCGGCGCGCGCCAAGACTCTACGTGCTAAGTTCGAGCATTGGGAGGAGACCGACGGCAAGATCAGCAATCACCATGTCGCCGAAATGGAGATGGCCCAAGGTACAGGCGAGCAGTCCAGCATAGAATCGGCGAGCAGTCTTAGAGCCCGTTTCGAATCTCTCGGCTCGCAGGCTAACGAGTCCCCGCGCACACCGAAGGTTAAAGTCAATCGATTTGTGGTAAGTACATTTTCTTGATCCATATAATCGCGCACGTCTCCTCGACTTGGTCCAATATCATATTGTGACTTGTTTGTGTAATCATCGTTATTCTTCCTTTCCTTCTATTATAATTAATCATTTCATATCACCACTCCTCCTGATTTTTAATTACTATTGATTAAATTTGGAGAACATGTCTTTGATTCTTTTTCTTTTTATCGTAACAATATGCTTTTCTGATTAGTTTATAATTGCGGTAGTGTTTTTCTTTAAAAAATTGTAATATAAAATATATTTGCAAGTAATATTAACATTTTTTAAAATCAAATATAAGTTGAAAAATCATATAACATAATTTTTATCCTACTCTCATTATGTACAGCAATTTTGCGATTTTAAGTATTAGTAATATTTATTTTTAAAGCTAAAATTATTGCAATTATAATCCAATCAGAAAATTAAAATTAAATATCTTTCCCGATAAGTTCCCTTTTTTTATTTTATGGACGATTCGGCATTGTAAAGTATGCGCATGGTGTGATTTTGAATTGTTGTCAGTCTGCCTGTGCTTATATCTGTGTTATATGTTAAAATTAAAGTGTATTTTATTTGTTGAGCATGTTTGTATTGCGTCAAAAAAGTCAAAATAAACAATGAAAATAATATTTTAAACTAATTAATATTTTTTAAATTAACATTTTATTGAGTTAATTGCAGCATTTTGACGCAATTCGAACCAATGCGTGGAAAATGCACGATTAAGATTTTATTTTATTTTATGTGGTTCATTTTTTTTATGTAACGAAAATTTATATATTTTACACTCTTTATTATAATAAAATATATTTATATATATGTGTACATTCTGCGATGAAAGTTAATTATTGCTTATAATAATTTAATGTGATAATTTTTCATCTCATAAATTTAATTTTGCGAACATAAATTCATGTTATTCACTCTCTTTATATTATTACATCTTTTTATGGAACAAATAAGATAATTTCTCATCGCATTACGGCTTTTAATTTTTTTGCAATAATATAGCAATTATATTAACATATAGTACATAAGTCATGATATTGGTAAATGTCTTATAATTGTAATATCGGTATATATTTCTAAGCTATATTTATTTAGTTTTTAATATCCGCGATTAAACAATAAGAATTAAAAATATATTTATTTTAGAAAAATGACAACCTATATTCTACAATAACAAACAATCTAGTCTACATTACTAATTATAAATTATAGATCTAAAAGATATTATAGAACTAAAAGTTATAGATCAATTCATTATATTTCTAGAATTTTTCTTTTGCAAAGAGATGTATTTCTTTACTAACGAAGTGTTGATACGGTATAAAAAGTAAATTCATCATTCAAATTCGCTCACCAAATCTCATTATAACGTAAAATTGATTCTTTATTGTTCATTGTTATGTGATTGAAAAATAAAGGTATAAAATTGCAGTTAAAAAAAAATAAAAATAGCTCGATAACTTAATAAAAGAAAATTATGTAAAACTGAAATAATTATACAAAATTTAACGAATACACATTCCACATTAAGTTCCAATTAAATTTCCTGCAAGTAACGAAGTTTTTACTTTATTCCTTTATTGATTTTTATCGAGCATGATTGATGTGATTATCTTCTTTTTTATTTTTGGCGTTATTGTTCTTACATTTTTTTTCTTCGTTTGAAATCTGCCTGCGATATTTTGGTCAAAATTCTGCCCGCTTGTGTCGTGTGGTAATGTAAAATGAAAGTAATCACAAACAAATCAAGTGCTCTTCTTTTTATGACGTGGAGCAGTAAAGGAAAGACAAAGAAAGGGAGAGACGAAGAAAATACACACCAGGAGATTAATTCGATTACGAGAAAAGTGAGAGAAGAAAGAGAAGAAAATTGATAGATCGTGCATTAAGTAAAAAATAAACGGCAATAAAATGTTCAATTATTGTCGATTATTGTAATGACTTTGCGTTTTCTTAGGGATGATTTTAACTCGAGTTATGTTCGTATAGTACATCTTAGCCTGTAGACTGTATCATATGTTATGTGTTAATACGTTATTGTACTATGAGAATTTGCGCGATTATTAGATTCGTTGAGCGTTTCGTCCAATTGCCAATTAGAATAGAAAATATATGCTATCGCAAAATCAATTCCAAACAGATGGCAATAAACCGTTTGAAGCATAATATGCCAAGTCACGCAAAAGAAAAAGCATGCAGGAATTTAATATATATTGATTTGCAGATTATGGTGTTATGAAAAGATTTAGATTTATTAATCATTTTTTTATAAACATTTTTATTAAGTGATAAATTGAATTGGACAGCTGCAAAATTTTTCATTGCGTGTGTAATAGAAATCTTGCTTTATCAGTAATCCGTAGAAATATTATACAGAAACGCTCAACTTATATTAATATATATAACAGAGAGAGAACTTTATTGTCTACTAATTTACTTTAAACAATAAAAGACGAATATCCATCTTTTGTGTTGTACGTATGTTGACTTTATCGTTGTCAGGAAGAGTCTTTGAAAAAAAAATAAATTCTTTCTACCCACATATGTGCAATGTATTGCTGTAAAACATAAGATGGATTCGTTTTTAAGCAGTGAAATTCGTAACGATGTTATATTCAATTTTTCCTTACTTTGTTAATTTATAAAAGGTTAGGTATCTTAATATTTCAATTCTTATTAAAATAATGTAAACGTTGTAAACTATTATAATACTGCAATGTGTCAAATTTTATTAAACTTTTAAGCGATTTTTTTCAAACTATAATTTTAATTTGAACGGAATCTTTAAAACTGATGACTGATTCATTGTATAATGTGTTTTTTGGATTTTTTTATATAAATGATTTACTTTTTAAAACAATACATAAATAATAATGAAATTATCGAGATTTATCTAATATAAAAGATTAGATTATGTATGAAATATACCGAGCAAATGTAGAAAATGAAATTATCACAATATGAACATCGATAAGCATTTTTGGCTCATTGATATTCAGATATAACGAAATGGTAATGGAATAATTTCAAAGTTCTTTTCTCATCGTTACGATCTTCCTCTGCCGCTTTAGATTTCTAATTTTCATAAGTGCCAAGTTTTATGTTGAATGAAGAGAGAAAGAGAGAGAGAGAGAGAGAGAGAGAGAGAGAGAGAGAGAGAGTGCGAAAGGAAAAAAGTGCATGAGAATGACGAACGAGAAGCAAAAAGTAATGCTTTCTCCAATTTAACGTGTAAAGGTCTGAACAAGGAAGTATCGGGTATTGTCGAGGTGTTTTGGGGCCGACTGGCGGTTAGGACCGTAGCTATTTCGATCGCTTTTACAAGTTTCGAATCTTTTTACAGCTTAGCGCCGTGGTACAGTAGATTTTTATACTCGTGTGGAAAAACGGAAACGATAATTTTCGTTCTCGTGTCGTCGCGTTCGAGCCTGCTTTCTCGCATTTGTGATTCACAATAAACTATTTCGCAAACACGCGTTGTATATTTGCATCTCGGCATCTGTGCAATACGATAAACTATGACTACGTATTTGTTGTTTTACAGAAAGATGCAAATCTATTCTATATATTATTAATCTTACACTGAGAAAAAAATTTACTAAATCTTAATAATATTTTTTTAATAGTACTACTTTGACATTTATTTATAATAAATATTTACTTAATACAAAGATGATAATTAAATTAATAATTCTTATATCAAATATATATATATATATATATATACATATAAATACATACATATTTACATTTAATAAATATCTCGCTAGTACTCAAATAAATACTTATTAAAATTTGGTATATTTTTCTTCAAAGTGTAGTTGTATTATATCCTAGATAAAATACATTATTATTTCTTGTGAGTAAAATGTTCTCTTATCAATGGCTTTATCATTTTTGTACTGTTATGTCCGTTATTTTTTATATTCGCTACAAGATCGTGTAAAATGCTATCGCAAATTTTTATAGAAACGACATTTCGCTGCTACTGCTAGATATGAGAACGTCGTCAATGTAGAGGCATGATGCCACTTTCGGCATATTTTATACTTCAGAAGAAGCACAGGGATGTGAATGACTTCGGTCATGTAATATCAGGGTAAATTCGCATTCCTCGAATTTCAAGCGAAGGACCCATTCTTAAAAGAGAGCATTGTATGATTTTTTTTAGATATATTTAAGTACTGTAGAAAGAGAGGAAGAAAGATCGAAAATGTATATTCTCGACAGCGAATATTTCTCCGTCTTCCTTTTTCCGTTTGTGCAATAATAACTTCTTTGTGAATACGCAAATTACGAATTATATGAATTTATTTAAGAGATTTAAGAGATTAGTGTGATTTATAGCAGGAAGCGCTAAGCTGATTTTGATTTGCGAAAGATCTGCTCCGTTGACTGAGATGTTGATGGAGATCTCGCGTGACAAATTGCGAGTCCTTGTTAACGGCCTCTCGAAGTCTTCTGATTTGTATAGCATAGATAGCGATAATAGTCTAGTTTACTGCGTCTTTTAGCGTATCATTTCTATTGATGTATAACGATCTTGTTCTGTTTATCTTTCACGTGTAACATTTATTACGATAATACACAAATGATAAATAAAACAGGTGCTAAATCTATCTGGTAAGGGAGGAGTGGGTAGGATGAAATCAAGGGAAGATCTCTTGATGCGAGAAGCGCGGCATTTCTTCGTCTTCTTCTTCGCGTAGTGTATGTACATATTCCTCTTACGTTAGAGCATCTCTCTTTACACAATCTATCATACATTCAGCATACATAAATCCCCGGTATCCGATTGTTATTGAGGAGTATTCGTAAGAATTAAATTTCCTCTGACGTAACAATCGTATAGGAGATCCAGACAACATGCACGGAGGTGTGCGAGAGCTGCGAGAAAAAGGTCTACCCCTTGGAGAAGGTCGAGACAAATAACAAAATCTTCCATAAGCAATGCTTCCGGTGTCTGCAGTGCAATTGCATTTTAAGGTAATGGAAAAAGACATGTAAACTTCTGCTTATATCAGGTCTATCAGATATTATATACCCAGCAAAATAGGTTGAAATGGATTAAATGGATTCAGATTTTTAGAAATACAGATTCATGAATGTTAAAATAAATCCTTTTCAATCTTTAATGCATTTTTATTTATTTATAGGAATGACATGGAGTATATTTCTATGTTTTTCAAGCTAAAAATAATATTATAGTATTTTGTGTGCATCATGAATACTGCTCAATTCAATATTCTGAATATGAAATACAGTTTTTCAATTTAATTGAATAAAAAAAGTTTTTATTTAAAAAAAATAGACCATAAATGTTACTTAAATCATTCAAAATTATAAGTAGGAAATTTTTTGTTTTAATCCAACTAAGTTGAAAAAAGTTGTAAAAATAATTGAGCTATGTTCTTTTATTTTTTTTTTATTAGAAGTAAAATGAATGATTGATGTGAACACTCGCAAACCAAGTCGAACACAACCCAAATATTACATTGATCGGCGACAGCGCCGTCATCAGCCAAGCGAGATTAGATTATCCGACAATGTTGTCTCATTGTGATGTAAATTGTTTATATTTTATTAGATATTTTTATTATATCTATATAATTTCGTGCATTGATTTAGCTGGTGGTAATTGAAGTAGAGAATGAATAACATGTTTATCAATTGAAGAAGTGATGTAGCGAGTAACATAAAAGATTCATAATTCAGAAATCCCAAGTTAAAATCCCAACGTACGTTATTTTTTAATACCAATTTGAAGTAGTTAATATCAGGTATAATTATTATAAATATCTTAAGAATAAAATTTGTAACCCTTAAATATGAATGTTCTTTTTTTTTTGAATATTAAACTAGTGTCAGCTCGGATCTAATCCATTTTAATCCATTCAATCCATTTTCATTTAAAGTAAGGATTAAAAAAATTTTAATCCATTTTAATCCATTCTCGTTCATTGGGTGTAAGATAAGATTGTAATATATCCTGTACTAAACATATTTCGCTTAAAGAAAATGAAGAGCCTACAAAAGTGTCAAGAAATGCAGTGTCAGTTATCGAAAATGTTTTGATAATTAACATGATGTAAATGTATGTATAAATATGGAAATACTTTTTGTCTGTGGCAGTAATAATATTTTAATTATATTATAATATAATATGTACATACACAAATATTGTAACGTGCGTTATAATCGATTTTTGTTTCTTCTCTATTTCGAATTTTTATTCTTCAATTAAATACAGTTACGAAATTATTGTTAAAGTATAGTTATTATTATATTATTAATGTGTTCAAACAGGATGGACTCCTTCACTCTGAATAACGGCAAGCTGTACTGTATCCCGCACTTCAAACAACTTTTTATTACACGGGGAAACTATGACGAGGGCTTCGGTGTCGACCCGCACAAGAATAAATGGGCGACAACGAACTCCAGCAATTCCACGAGCCCATCACCAATCGCGGTCTCGAACGGCGATCTCTGATTTTCCAAGTCTTCCACCTCAATTCTTCCCTGGCTATAAATCGCTATTGAATTTTAGTCGAATTTTAGGTGGATCTAGATAAAGATTTGAAGAGGGAATAGTCCCTCTCGGAAATACATTTTAGGATGTATGTCAATCATCATGGAAGAGATATAATATCTTTTACAATTTTGCCCTCGTGAATGGTAAATTAGATCCACCTATGGTCAAAACGCGATGATGATTATGATAAATTGTACATTTTATTACGTTATTATTGCGTACATATGAGAACGCGTAATTGTATATTTAACGGTAATTGGAATGAATCGCGATGATTGGAGACTCGCTCCAAGAAAACGGTCTCTGCATGCGAAAATCTTTTCGAAGTGTAAATCTTGCCAAATGAATCGAAAGAAATGCACATGTATTTTCTGTTCGTAAATCGAAAACGTAAATATGATTTAAATTATATCGAGGAAATAATGAAAAATGCGCGCGATTTTTTGGGTTTGTCAAGTTGCGTTGAATTAAAATATATTTTAAAGTTCGTAATGAAAGATTAATGAAATATCGAAGAAATTGATTCAGATATAATTACAATGTGCTATAAAGTATCTTCTCAATTTTTAAACTTTATTGTCATCGCTCACCATAAAATTCGCTTGATATTTGTTACTATTATTATTTTATTGATTTTATTATTATTATTATATTATAATAATTATTAATATTATTTACGTGCGTCGCACTTGGTATTATTTTATTATATATGTTGTATAATACAATATTACATTACGCTTCGTAAATCTTGTATCCGAACCTGTCCCTCAATAAATAAGAATTTTATACATCTATATTTATTATAATCTCCACAATATAAATCTGCATCTAGACTAAAAAATATGATTTATGCGTAGATAAAAACGAAAATTTTAAAACTATATTTATATTGATAGATGTGTTATCGTTATTGAAAAACATTTTAGAATAATTAACTTCGTATTTTTAGTTTCATTATCGTTAACAAATATGATATCGTTATAATTACGCAAAGTATCACGAAAGTAAAATACAGATGGCGAGACTCGCGCATAAGAAACATCGAGCGGTAGCCATATTTATATAGTGCTGCAGCTATCTGTTGACGCATCTCTTTCATACGAATTAAAAATATTTTTTTGCAACGAGTTCTTATCAAAATAAATATATATGTATGTAATTTTGTCATTAATAATGCAAATTTATCAACTAAAAATAATTACTAATGAATAAATATAATATAATTGGAATACAGTTATATAATACAAGCTAATCGAATCTATTTGAAGCTATAATTATTAATGGAGAAACTACTCAAGCAGAAGGTAAGTCAACAATTTTTTATATGCTTCAATGAGTCTTTATCATGTCTTTATGTTATAAAAACAGGAACATTATTCTGAGAATAATTTTTATTTCCTTCAGTCGATAATATGTATTTATAAATTTCTTTGTACACTGTTTTGTCAACATACGATGAAACTTCTACGATGTCGTATGGTATGCACTTTTTGTATATCAATCCTTGTATATTTTTTCTTTATAATGTGAGCGCTATATGTACATTATATAAATATACTAGAACATTATATTGGGTCATCTAAAAAGTATCCACGGTTTTTCACTAGATGGTGTTAATGATCATATATCGGGCAACACTAATCCGATTGTGTCAAACGAACGCGCGTCTGAAAGATGACATTTTAGGTTACATTTTTTGTAAACAAAGTTTGGTGATTCATCAATCGTATCAAAAGTTATATTGGTTTGAAAATGAGTGAAATATCTGAAGAAATACGCTATGTGATGCTTTTTTACTACAAAAAAGGCAAAAACGCAGCACAAACATGCAGACAAATTTGTGAAGTTTACGGCGCGGATGCTGTAAGTGAACGCAGGAGTGGTTTGTTCGATTTCGTTCTGGAAATTTTGATGTCAAAGATCGACCTCGCTCTGATCGGCCAGTCACTGAAAAAGTCGATGAAATTTTGCAACTGGTCAAGCAAGACCGACATGTGAGTTGTCAGGAGATAGCCAATGCATTAAGAATCAACCATATGACAGTTTGGAATCATTTGAAAAAGGCTGGCTACGCAAAGAAACTCGATGTTTGGGTGCCACATGAATTAACGCAAAGAAATTTGATTGATCGAATTTCCATCAGCGAAACACTACTAAAACGCAACGAAATCGACCCATTTCTGAAGCAAATCATCACAGGCGATGAAAAATGGGTGAAATACAAGAATATTGTTCGTAAAAGATCATGGAATAAGCGCGGCGAACCACCACAAACGACTTCAAAGCCTGGATTGATGGCAAATAAGGAACTTGGTTGGGAAGTTTTGATGCATCCACCGTATAGCCCGGACCTTGCACCGTGTGACTACCATTTGTTTCGATCTCTGTAGAACTCTCTTGATGGAAAAACATTGGCCGACAAAAGAGCTGCCGAAAATCACTTGAAAAAGTTTTTCGCTGATAAACCACAAAAGTTCTACACGGATGGAATTATGAAATTACCCGAAAAATGACAAAAGGTTATAATTAATAATAATCGCCAATATATACTTGATTAAAATTGATTTTCAATAAAGAAAAATTTCATTCAAAAATTGAACAAAATACCGCGGATATTTTTTAGATGATCCAATATTATGATATATTAGATTAAAGTTTGTTTTTATTACATTATTTTTTCTTATTAATTAATAATTTTTTATTAATAATAATAAGTACGAAAAGATAGACAAAAAATATTTTTATTAAACATTAAATTATTTTTATTATTGTTAAGAACAGTTAAAAATATACAAAAAATATAATTAGAAAATATTCGTGAGTCAGTATAATTTTGCTTTAAGTAAATCAGTTTTTTTTCTATTTTTTAAAAATATATAATTTATCATAAAGCTAATTATTAATTTTTTAATAATTTAAAAACCCAAGCAGCACAACAAGTCACAATAACATCAAAGTAACATTAAAATGAATCGGAGGTGATTGAAAAATGATTTTTGATGACTATTCAGAATCATTTCGATATCATAATAACTTGTTGTTCTAGTTAGGAAATTCGTAATTATATTTTTAAAAAATGCAGACGCATCAATATGTATTTAAAAGACATCACCACCTAATTAATCTATTATTTTATTTTGCAGATGGAGATCTGCATCGATTCTTTAGAGTCCGCTAGAAACGCGATAGAAGGTGGTGCTAGCCGATTGGAGGTTTGCTCGGCTCTCTCGGAGGGTGGTTTAACACCTAGTCTAGGTTTAGTTCAACAAATTAAAAGTTTCACGATGATTCCGCTGTATGTTATGATCCGCATTCGCTGCGGTGATTTCATCTACAGTTCCGAAGAGATCGACGCTATGCTGCATGATTTGAAAATTCTTAAGGATCATCATGTAAACGGGTTTGTCTTTGGCGCCTTGACTCCTGATTGCGAGATTGATATTGTTGCATGCGAGAAGATTATTTCCGCCGCTTGTCCTTTGCCGGTAACATTCAATCGTGCTTTTGATCTGACGAATGATCCTGTCAAATCGATGGAACTCCTTGCTGATCTTGGTTTTGAGAGAATTCTAACTTCGGGACAGAAAAATACTGCTCTGGAAGGATTAGAACTGATAAAAACGTTAGTACAAAAAACCCAGAAACTAGTGATTATGCCTGGAGCTGGCATCACAAAAGATAATATTCGTAAAATCATGGAATCCGGTGCCAAAGAATTTCACGCGTCAGCGAAAAAAAGGAAAATGGTAGTCTATGGAGCAAACAGAGTTAGGATGGGCATCAATAACGATGATTTTGTTAACGTGACTGATAAGGAATTGGTGAAAGAATTAGTCGAGATCATTAAAAATGAAAATACACTACGTGAAAAATAATTAAACTTAAAAATATCTAATTATTATCAAATATTCGTGTTTTATGTAATTAAATCTAAATAATATAGATTTAATAATATAGATTTAAGAGTAATTTGGTTATTTTAAGTTAACTGATACATTATCTTCGTAATTTTTGTCCGCACTAATTACATTTTAAATATAGTATAATCAAGTATATATTGGCCATTATTATCTATAACCTTTTGTCATTTTTCGGGTAATTTCATAATTCCATCCGTGTAGAACTTTTGTGGTTTATCGGCGAAAAACTTTTTCAAGTAATTTTCGGCAGCTCTTTTGTCGGTCAATGTTTTTCCATCAAGAGAGTTCTGCAGAGATCGAAACAAATGGTAGTCAGACGGTGCAAGGTCCGGGCTATACGGTGGATGCATCAAAACTTCCCAACCAAGCTCCCTCAATTTTTGGCGCGTCATCAAAGATGTGTGTGATCTGGCGTTGTCATGATGGAAGACAACACCTTTTCTGTTAATCAATTCTGGTCGTTTTTCCTTAATCGCTTCCTGTAATCTATCCAGTTGTGAACAGTAGAGCTCTGAATTAATCGTTAGGCCATGTGGTAACACCTCATGATGGACGATGACTCCTTTCCAATCCCACCATACACACAGCATCATCTTATTTGCCATCAATCCAGGCTTTGAAGTCGTTTGTGATGGTTCGCCGCGCTTATTCCATGATCTTTTACGAAATTGGCTATCTTCTGACAGCTCACATGCCGGTCTTGCTCGACCAGTTGCAAAATTTCATCGACTTTTTCAGTGACTGGCCGACCAGAGCGAGGTCGATCTTTGACATCAAAATTTCCAGAACGAAATCGAACAAACTCCTGCATCCTGCGTTCACTTACAGCATCCGCGCCGTAAACTTCACAAATTTGTCTGCATGTTTGTACTGCGTTTTTGCCTTTTTTGTAATAAAAAAGCATCACATAGCGTATTTCTTCAGAAATTTCACTCATTTTCAAACCAATATAACTTTTGACACTATTGATGAATCACCAAACTTTGTTTACAAAAAATGTAACCTAAAATGTCATCTTTCAGACGCGTTCGTTTGACACAATCGGATTAGTGTTGCCCGATATATGATCATTAACACCATCTAGTGACAAAAAACCGCGGATACTTTTTAAATGATCTAATATATTGTAGTGGTCCAAAAAAATTATTTTTTGATCTGTGTGTCTAATAAGATTTGTAGATACTTCAGCAAAATCTTTCCGTGTAAAAAATTCTTTTAAGTATAGTTTCCAAGTATAAAATTATTTGTATGATACTATTTAATATCAAATAATTCTATACTTGAAAATGTTGCACAAATGTTACGAAAATTTTTGTAAAAATATATCTTACATTACATTTAAGAAGTTACAAATCAAAATTATTAAAAATATGTTTCAGATAATAAACAAAATTTCTATCGTAATAAATCCATCAAGATGTCTAATACAGATCTTGTTATTATATATCACTAAACAAGGAAAGTGAGTTAGAGCGAAGAGAGCCCCGAACGTTTCTAATCATCGTGCACGAATTAGCCCTTATAATTAATCACTCAGCTTTCGCGAATGGTCAACAGTGAGATCGTCATTAAAGCAGAGAAATAGATCGCCAATTTAAAAGAAATTTACCATAGTACCTAAATACTATTGTTATCGACAATGAGTTCCGTAAAGCATAATCTTACATTGCGGAACATCTTGCATTACGGATCTTTCGATTATGTTAAATAGCCTTGTCATATTTAGTGAACTTAAGAATCCTAAAAAGCACGTTAAAAAGCACGTTTCATTGCAGATAATTAAAAATCTCGATGGCGATAAAATGAATCTATTTTATTAAATAATCTATCTCCCAGTTAAACAATAACTGCCAAAATGGCCAAGTTTCCGGTCAGTATATATTTTATAATAATTTTTATCAATTTGTTTTTCAGTTTATATTATACGTTATCTAATCGAAATCTTATTATAATCAACAATAACAATGTTTATGAGGCGTTCGGATATTTTCTTCTTAGAATTACTTAAAATATTGCATATGCCAATGGCATTAATGAATAAAGACACGGCGATAATCCGCAAATCTTCTAGTATCTTTAAAAAAAGTAATATTTTAAGTATTTGTAAACTTGATCTTTATTTATAAAAATTTTTTATCTGAGCAATACAATAAAATTGCTCATCAGTGAGAAACTTTTGGCAGTTTGTATATTTATTGAGATAATAAACAGAAATAAGTTTCAAAATTTGAAAAATGTAAAGCGTGATATAGACTCCTCTTCCATACATGAATCGTAATAAAAAATCGAAAGAAATCCAGTCCGACCTCACACGATTCAATAGAGGTTCGGTTCTTGAAACTGTTAGCTGCCTCGAAGGAGTCATGGATCTTCCGATAGTACGCATTTAGGTTCCATTAGAAGTGCGTAAAACCATCAGAGTCTGGCTCGAAGAATCAGCGAAGCGCGGCAGTAAAGACAATTTCATATGCGGAATCTAACAACGATTTTTTGTTTTTATCGCGAGAGAGAGAGAGAGACAGAGAGAGAGAGAGAGAGAGAGAGAGAGAGAGAGAGAGAGAGAGAGAGAGAGAGAGAGAGAGAGAGGGGTATAAGAATGGTACCTCCATTCCAACGAAAATAAATGCAAGTCTTTGTGATTCATGTCGTTGGTCGCGCCGTCGAGCTGCAATTTTCACATGCAAGTTCGCATGTAAAGGTCGTCCGGGAGATAGCTCGGTTTCAATAATTTTCTGAGTTTTTCAAAGTGCGAGAAAAGAGGGAAGATAATAACTCCCTAAATAATAAATAATAAAAGAAAGTGAAGAAAAGAAATAAAGAAAGAAGCATGGTTTATTTCTTAAGATGAGATAAACCGGTATCATTCTGTGGTATTGTAAAAACCTATGCCTTTTCTGTAACATTTCACTATTCTATACTTTATCTTTTTAGCCTATGAAGAAATTAGAATCAATCTATTTCTTTATTAAAATATTGACAATTTAACCACAATCTTCTTTATAAAATATAATATTTTTAGATTAGTTTTCATGTATATGGCGCTAATTGCCAAGCGTTATATTCGCTAGCACCAAGTGACGCTGGACGCGGATTTTACTATTAATTTGAACAACGCTCCTGTATTATTTATTGACAATCTTTTTCCATTTCCGGAAAGAATGGTTTGCCAAAGTATTTAAAAATTTAGATATATGAAACAATTTTATTAGATTATCAAAATAATTACGTATGTTCATGTAACTGCCAAAATATAAAAATTTTTTACAGCATTATTCATCATGCTTCAGTTTAATTCCTACATAATTATTTGAATGGTCCAACAAAAATATTTTCAGATCTGTATCTAGCTAAATTTTTAGATATTTCAGCAAAATTATTTTTTCCATAGCTAATTCTTTCCGTAGCTAGTTCTTAGTATTCACCAACAAAAGGAAAAGTAATAATTTTTTTACGTTTAGGTATATTTTCGTGCTGTAAAAGTTCTTCAAACTAATTTAACCGTCATACAATAAGCATGCGACCGCATTTTACGATTTTATAAACTGGGTCAATCCTAATATTGACAAAAAAGTGATCCATTTCACTGAGAAGTATTAAACAAGAATTTGATAACATAAGATAATCAAGAAAGAGCAAATAGAGCGCCAGAATTAGATCAATGTCCTTTTAGTACGATAAATCGTTTCACAATATTAAATTTTTGTGTGACAAAACAATTTTAAAAAATTAATAATAATATGATAATTAATAATAATCATACCTGAACTTATATATTAGGTGTTGGAATTAATTCGTAGCGTTTTACAAGTGATGGGAAGTACTTTCATTAATGTATTTTTTAATGCTCATGTGAAATAAATAACATTCTTTCATTAAAAAACGCTACGAATTAATTCCAACACCTAATATATAAGTTCAGGTATGATTATTATTAATTATCATATTATTATTAATTTTTTAAAATTGTTTTGTCACACAAAAATTTAATATTGTGAAACGATTTATCGTACTAAAAGGACATTGATCTAATTCTGGCGCTCTATTTGCTCTTTCTTGATTATCTTATGTTATCAAATTCTTGTTTAATACTTCTCAGTGAAATGGATCACTTTTTTATTTATATTTCCTAAACTATTCATTTAATTTTATTACGATCCATAAATATAGAAAGGATTAATTAAATAGATTTATTTGATTATCCTCCTATTATCCTCTTTTTTTTTGTTTAATCTTCCGTTTCATCACTTTGTTTTTTTAATGCAAATTATACGATGAATATCAAAAGAAATATTGTTATGTTAAAAACTATTTTTTTTTCCGGTAATAATGGTCTCAACAATAATGGACAACTTTCGAATTTTTTTACTTCGATTACCCGAACTAATGCGCGGGTGGTCATTAACGCTATCCTTAATTAAGTAAAGCTTCTCTGGTTACTAGTAATTTCTCTGTTACTGGTAATTTATACTACAGCGATAAGGTGCGATCATGAGTAGGATATAATATTTTACGGAAAAAATAACTTTTCTTCAGTGGCGATCGAGTAGAGCCGAGTACTTGCCCGAGTTCCCCTCTCGGCGTTTCTCTTTGCCTAAGATTTTATAGCGGATGCACGCATTACAGAATTTTTGTGAGACTACCGAACAGCACACAAAAAGCGTCGTATTTTATGAAACAAACCCCCTCCGTCAATGTTTAATCAGAAAACACTTCTTCCGGTCTCTTAAAAACTTCCTGTGCCTTCCGAGAGGTTCTCATGAAAATATTCAGGATAATTAACGAACAAAATATTAGTTCTGAATCTTGTTTTTCAAATTGTCATATGAAAATCAACTTCTTAAGATTCTTAGGAGACAAAGAAAACATATAAGTCAATCGCATCTCACTCGACAGCGGAATGGACAGTGGAATGGACTGTGCTACGAATTCGCGTGACGCCGCTTCATTCACCGCACATTGGTTTATATGTTTCCTTTTTAATTCAAAAACGGCAGCAAATATCTCAAAATGGTATCAGATTTTTTTGTTCCCCTAGACCTATTCTACAACCCAAATGCGGATAACGTCTTACGTTATTTTTGAGATACTCTGTATATTACATTAAAACAGTGTTATAGTAATAACAGTGTTATAGTAATAATTAAATGATAAAGTAAAAATTAATTAACTTAAGCATTTAGCAACTGCAGGATAGTTGACCTGCAAGCCATTGATTTTTTAAGAAGTCACCGTACTTAATTGCGAAAATGCAATCTTGCGGAAGTAACGAACAAATAATACAAAACTGCTTTCCGCAAGTTGCGAAAAGAATGGAAGTAATTGCCCGATAATTGAGAAATCCAAATGCGACCGTCAGCATTGATCCGAAACCATGACTCGAACAGTTGACCAATTCCAAGCTAAATCAGATTAAATAGATTAATGAACATTATAAATTATGTTTTATATAATTTAATTGGCTTGTGATTTCTTTTTTTTCGCATATTTCTTAACACATTCACATCTTCTAACATTCCATGTGCAATTATCACTGTCTTTTTAATCTAAATTTAAAAATAAAGCGTACATATTTATCTTACAAAATAAGAATTATTATTCTTTATCACCTTATAAAAAGAAAAAATAAGTAAGACAGACTCATATTGTTCTCGTGAAACGGCTCGGAGCGGACGTGTTTTCATTTCAGTCCAAGTGTTGCATTATTTTTAAAACTATCTCTGAAAAAAAAAAGTGATCAATTCTTGAGCAATTAAAAATGTCAGGACAATAAAAAAAATTAAAATTTTTTTATTGAGACACATTAAATTACAAAAATCTTATAATATTAATCAATTTGATTAGTTGATCAATAATGTTTGTTATTGTATTGCTATCAATCTGTATCTTTATATTATTAGTATGTAACTATTATGTGCATTATGGAAAAACCGGACGACTCATTAATCTAGTACCAGGACCACTATGTTATCCAATTATTGGAAGTGTATACATATTATTTGTTTCACGAGGTAAATTAAAAAAATGTTTTATATATTTAAATAAAATTTTATTTTAAAAATTAAAATGTTTTACATATTTGTGATTTAAAATTTGATGGTATATCATTCAATTAAATTATTAGTCCGTTTTTAATTTTCGGTGAACATTGGAAATCATAATTGTGTTACTCGATTTATCCAGGACTATAATAATTAAAATAATATTTAAATTGGCATTCAATATACTCCCAGTAAATTAATTCCTGAGTAAATTAATGTTTATATGTACATGTACATGCAAATATAATATTTGTAAACATTCACTTTAAAAAACATTAAGTATTTCCATCAATGTTAAAAAACATTTGCTTGTTAAATTTAAGAATTATTTAATGTTGTTAATTATTTTCTACATAATAGTATTCATTTCTCGGTTACTAAACTTTATTGAGAAATAATAGAGTATATTAAACATATCATATTTCTGTATATTTAAATTTTTTATCAATTTTTATTACAATGTTTATAAATTTATATAATATATGAACAAAAACGTTGTGTGCGTATACATATATTTTTTAGAAGTACTATGGAAGCGTTTAATCACTCTTTCTAATAAGTACTATCCCATTTACAAAAATTGGATATTCTTTAAACCCGTTATATCCATCCATCATCCAGATGATCTAAAGGTAATAAAATATGAACAAAATTTTATTCTCTTCTTATTATTCTTACTGTATGTATTAGAAAATAAGATAATTTTCTATTCTTTTATTTGGCAAAGATATATTTACCATAAAAATCAGACGGAATAAGAAATACAGACTACGATAACAAAAAAGATTAAACTGGCATATAATAGTCATGTTCATGACTTTAAGTTTAATTTTAACTGAATAATCTGTACTCGCAATCGTTATTCTTTTACATTTTCAAATTATCTATCTATTCGTTCTATTTTTTTAAGTACACATTTTAATAGATCTTATAGTGATAACTACCCATATTTTATGCCTACTTTTTCTTTTCTATTAGGTGTTGGAATTAATTTGTAGCGTTTTACAAGTGATGGGAAGTATTTTCATTAATGTATTTTTTAATGCTCATGTGAAATAAATAACATTCGTTCATTAAAAAACGCTACGAATTAATTCCAACACCTAATAATTACACTAATAATTTTTTTTTATTATAATTAATTTTATTCTAATCAATAAAGATCCGAACTATGATTAAAACATTGTTTTGCAACATCTAAATATTTATTA